CGTTCATCCATTTTGCTGGATTTACTTTGTTAATCTACAAATAAGAAAATAAACATGATAAATGTAGGTTGAATTTCTAAACTTGTCTAAAAGAACGAGTAGCTAACACCAACTGCAATCTCTCGGATGGTATGCAAGGACTATGACACTTAGACGAAATCTCGCGTGCAGAAGTTATACTAACCCTCATCAGTCAAATAATGTGCAAGGACTAATCCCAATTTCTCTGATGAATGCAAGACTAACCCTAATCAGTCAAATGAGAGTAACCCTAATCAGTTGAATAGTGTGCAAATTTAACCCTTATCAGTTGAGTGACATAAATGTTACATCTTAGTCCAATGAGCGGGAGAATCTTGCGAATCTGAGGACCTGTAAAGTTAAGTCTACCAACTAAAACTTAAAGAAAAGCATTAAATATATCTTCAAGCTATGTGTCCTGATGACTGCATGGAAATAAAATAACAAACACAGCTCCTCCAAATTCAAGAAAAAAATTATATTTTCTAATGAATATTAAAACTGGGCTTAAACCTGTTGCTATACAAGGACTTCACCCGCTTCTCGCACCTGTCTAAGTATGTCTGCACAATATTATCTCTCAGTAAAATAGAACAGGAACTGTACACCAATAGATCACCAACAGAGCAGTAAAAATAAAATCAGCATATCAAGAAAAATACAGAATGTTTCTTTAAATGTATCAACGCACCCCAGCAAAAGAAAATTTCTTGAAAAGTAAGTAATTTCAATGGTTTCTATGTCCATGAGTGTTCATGTTGTCCGCCATATTGTTTGGGTTGCCAACTCATTTGCATAACGACAAAACGACAAAAAAAGATAAAAAATTTTATGTACTTTTCTCTGTCTTCTAGAATTTTCTCAAATAATATTGAATTCACCTCAAACATTTTTTTTTTTCAAAAACAGTTTGAAATAGGTCCATCGCATGACTTTCGACAATCTTCGGAAAATAGGTTTGTGTAAATGTAGTCAATGGGACGTACAGGATATAAAGTCCTTCATTCTTGTAAAGATAATGTGTTATTTTTTCCACAAATTTTTTAAACTGGATACTTAATGCATATGTTCATTTTTTTTACTGTAGTTAGGTCCCTGCTTTAGTGTTATATAATTTTGGTCCCTTTCAATTTATAATTTACCCAAATCCAAAGTCTATTTTCACTTTCATTTTGTACTTCCGTCAGTGAAGAAGACAGAAACTGAGAAAGGTAAATACGTTTTTGGACAAATATATAGATGTAAAACCCCATTCAGTTGATTTCATTTTAAAAAACAACAGAAAACAATTAAATATGTTACTATAGGCCTATAAGACTACCACAAAAATGTGTTTACATACAGTTGTTTAGTCTCTTGAAAGTGATATGAAATCGATGTAAAAAGGTGTACCACCTGGGACAAAATGGATTGATTTCAGATGTACAGGATATGGCTACGAGTGTTAGCTATTGGTTGTACAATTTGATAAGTTTGCAGAGAGAGAGAGAGAGAGAAAAAGAGAGGGAGATTATAAGGAGAGGGTGAGACACCTGCAATCAGAGTAAAAAATTCCAAGGGAGAAAAAAGAAGGCTTTGTTCATGAAAGCCCTTAATATGTTTTATGCTGTAACCGTTGGGGCAAGCACAGTTGTACAATAAGAAGTACACATGAAACATTGATCAGCCTCTTCAAATATAAACTCCCATGAGACATCTCAGCAAGCTTTGATGTCACATTTAGGGCTATATCAAAATATCGATACGTATTGATATTTAAGAAAAATATCGTATCGAAAAGTAACTTCCAATACATATCGGACAAACATTTTTTCTTCAAATTCTGTTTAAAAGATGGGAATTTCAATCACCATAGATTATATCTTACTTTTTTGAATTAAAACCAGTTCAATAAGGCCAGATAACATTAATCTTTAGATTCTCATCCCCGCCCGCCCCTCTCAAAATGTCCCGCCCCGGTGTTTTTTATTTCGATTTTTGGGTGCTGAAAGTATTTTCCATGTATTGAATTTGGGTCAAAGTTTAAGAGTTATCTCCCGTCTGTATTAAAGGTCTCGTGTCGCTATTTATTGCAAAAGAGCCATGTGAAGAATGGCGAAAAATCGGCAATAAAAGCAGTTTAAATATGTATGGAAAACATAATTTGTCAGTGTAGAGAAGGCAGAGAAGAAAAAATAGCATAAACAAATCTAGATAGTATCAATGGCATGAGCAAATTAAAGAGATTTAAACTAAGTAAAAATAGACAAGGAAAATGACACCTTGTCAAGTTTTAAACGATCTCCAGCTGTGTGTGATTTTTCTTTGAAAAAAATAATAAAACATCGTAGGCAGACTTTAAAGAATGCTAAGGAAATGTTAAATCTTAACACTGTTCAGGCCTAGGTTTTCCAGTAGAAAATTTTATTAAAGAATATTTTATAGATTTTGCAAATATGACATATTTTAATGTCGAACATGTCAAGTCTCAAGAACAATCAATTTTTTTAGGAAGGTGGAAATCTATGATATTTTACAGAAAACAGAGGGATTTGTTGGTAAAACTAAAAGGTATTTGGGGAAGTCTGACATGCATATACAATTTATTGGTATCCCCACCTCATTTTATTTGGCGTGTGCCTTATTTGTGTACTTGATAATTTCTTAACAATAAATATTTAATTTTTTAAGGCAAGAAGCTTCTTTCGATATTAAAAGAATATGAAAAGAATAAAATCTATTCATATCAGCATTAACATAATAACAAAATTAAAATGTTTACAAGAGTCCATGTTTTGTTGATACTTACACATGTTACAATTCAACAATTATAAAAAATAAAAAATAAAATCCACCCACCCGCCCCGATTTTTTAGCAAATTAGGATGAGAATCTAAAGATTAATTTTATCTGGCCTAATAGACGACTTTCACATTTACAAAAGTTATTCCCCTTTGCGGGGTCAATCCGGTGTCAACCGGCGTAAGATGCTGTTATCCCTCTATAACCTTGCCAACTTTATGGGTCAGTATCCTAGAAATAAAATCTATTTGAATATGCTCATTATGTTTTTCATGTTACCCCATACTCTGGCAATACAGGTTCAGATCGAAATTGTCCCAAAACGTTTGACATTTAAAAATATTAACAGGTAACTTACAAAGGACAAAGTGGGAAAATTGAGCGTTACGCCGACAACGGGAGGTAACTCTTATGGATGTGAAATTCGTCTATTATATAATTTCTAAGGAAATAACACAGTTTTTATAATTACAAGGTATTACAAAATACAAAGAGAAATTTTTTTGAACATGTTGATTTTACTGTCATCAAAAGTTTTATTTGAAGTGTTATTTTTAAAGACAATGAGAAAAGAACTTTAAAATGGGTAATAAAACTATGACTTAATTGTTATGAAATGTATGCATTAAAATGATTTAGAAGCCTTTTCTGATGCACTTGTTTCAGAATCCAATATATTGCATATCGCTTTAAAAAATATTGTATCGTATCTTATTGAAATTTTTGGCTCAATACACAGCCCTAGTCACATGACATAACAGTGATCGTCGGAGCTTTTGGGGACAGCCGAGCATCTGGTCGAAACTATAGACTTAGTGCTATTTTTGTCGAAAGACATAGTACTGTAGAGTATTTTCTTATTACTTTTAAGATTTCTACAAACTGAAGGCCTTTTATTTTTTTATGTTATTTATTTAGTATTGTTTACTATTATCGCATAGAATCCTGGTAGCATAGGAATTCTGGGAAGGTTTCACACAAAAATTTGCCTGAAGTATATACAGATTTCATTCTGAATTTCCCCTGATCTTACATGTTAGTCTATTGACTTATTGAGCTCAGTTTGCGAAGTGACGCTTGCTGCACTTGCTACATGTATAAAGACTAGTACCTCAAACATGTCATAGGCAAAGAAAATGAACACTAATGAATAAATTTTACAGACTTGAAATATTTTTTGAAAAAAAAAAAAAGTGATTTATTCCCTACTTTTGATTCACTAATTATATTCTCCAGTTAGTCAGGTGTACAATTTCTTGATTTCGGAAACACACAGTGACTCTACTATAAATGACAAATCTTCCTGTAGCGAGCAGAAGAGATAACTGATGGGTGTGAAAGAACCGAAATCTCTACAATTTTAACATGTTTAAAGCAAATTTTTGAGTGAAATCATCCCAGAATTTTAATTCACATCCAGCATTCCATGCATTAATGGTGAATATAAAAGTTTTGCAGTTATTAAGAAGCTTTTGTTCTTGCAAAGAAATAGATAAAAAAAGAACAAAAAATAATTGACATCAAATAATGAAAGAAGGTGCCTTTCATAAAAAAAATGTATTATTCAGATACTATTATGGAAATGCAACTAATATGCAAGGTCATGTAACTGCTGTGACATCAAAGTCTATAAAGTAGACTGAGTATCATGCAGTTTGAAGACACAGATCAACTTAGAAGACTTAATGTAAACTGAGTAAAGACAGTGCACTCACCTTAATGGCCATACCATAAAACACATAGATTTTTATGCCCCCCCCCCCCCCCCCCATTTACTACAAAAAGTATATCAGACTAGTGAATTCTTTACACATGTATGAATTATGAGATATGGCTATTTTAGGTTTCTTAGAAACATAAGAAAAATGTATTTAAAAAAAAAAGCTCTGGTAAAAGTATGAAATTTTCATTTGGAAAAATAATTAAAGAGAAGTCAGGGACTGAACATGCTGAAGCTTAATTAACTTTTAGGTGGTTTACTGTAAAACAACTTTTATTCGCGTACGAGAAATATTTGCGACTTTCTCGACCAACTTTTAGTCGCGAATATTAATTGCCGCAAACCATTTATTTTGCTTTGGTTTTGTAGAAAATGTTTTCTTATTTGTGAAAATTTATCGTCATGGATTGATTTTTAACTAACGAATCACGAATAAAAGATAGTTGGTTTGCAGTATCTTTTATTAAGAGAGAATGTTGAAGAATATAATTCAGGTGACCCATGTCCTTTTTAATTCTTTATAAAGTCTTCATTCATTTATACTTTTTTCTTATTTTTCAGCCCGAAACAATGTCAGAATTTACCTAACAGTGACAGAAATTCCATTGGCAATTGACTGGAAAATAATGCACCTTTGAGATGAAAACAGGCTTTTGTCACCCAAGAAAATCAAGTCTCACAGAAAATGTATGTAGGTGGATCCTAACTTTTACATTATTACTTGACTGTGCACTGGTGCATGCTGGGACATTGATAACTCTTCCATTAAGTTATCGCCATGGAAATGGTCAAGAACATGATAGATTCAGAAGAAGTGATCAATTTCAAAGTCAGAGAAATAACCTGAGGGGGAAGCCAGGTCAAGGATATTATTTAGAGATGAACATTGGGACTCCTCCGCAAAAGGTAACTGTCCCCCCCCCCCCCTTTTATTTGTACATGTAGGCTTTTAGTTCAATTTTAGTTTTTTGTAATTAACATGTTAATCATTAATGCTTATTGATATCAACTTTAAAAAGATTTGAAATTATTTTTTTAAATTATCATTCAATTCATTTTTATGCAGCAAATCAAACAGTGATTGATGGTTAGATAATTCAATTAAATTTGATATTTTGATAAATAGATGTCTGACCGGTGCTACTTACAGTTATCATACTAAACATGAATAGTTTTTTTTTTTTTTTAATTATATTTGTGTGGTCTAAGATATTAGAGATGTATTACATACTAACAGTGTAAATATATTACATTTCCGCAAATAAAAAGCTATATGCAAATGATAAAACAATGAATTTTTTATATACATGCATTATAAAAAAATCTTTTCATATAATTATGATATTGAAAATGAATTTATTTCCCAGATAATCTATAGAAGTAAATTTTCATCTAACATGAATTACATCATATTAATTCTTTTAAAAAATCAGATTTCTTTGAACCAAATTATGAATAATTTAGACTAAAATATAATCAAGGGTTTTTTATTAAAGAATTTCAAAGTTTTAAATTGATGTATTGAATCTTTACAAACCTGTTTCATTTCTCTATCCTTTCTCTTTGCCTTTTACCAAGTACTGTGTACTCTTCACAGTGACAACTTTCAAACTCATTCACCTTTTTCTTCTTGTCCAATAATTTCCCTAGATCAAGGTAACACCCAGCTGGTGTATATCTTAACTAATCACATCACAGGTCTTTATGAAATATTACATAATGTTTATAATTAGTTTATATCCATCAGCTGTCATGAGGTATAACACAGTGTTGGAGGTGTATATGTATTGTTTATACACTGTGTACACATTTCAATTGATTCAAATTTTATTTGAGTGACTGACTTTTAAGTATTAATTGGTCTTAATGATTCCCCCTCTCTCCCACCCACCTCAATATATAAACAGGATATTGTAAATATTTAATATGTAAATAATCATGTTTCATGTAAATTAAAATTTTGTTTATCGACAGTGCATTTTGTTACTAAAAAATTATAACAAACAAATACTTATTACATATTTTGATTAATTTTCTTCTGTTGTAGATAAATGTGTTGATCGACACAGGGAGCAGTAATTTTGCCATTGCTGCCAGCCCAAATCCTGACATAGATATATATTTTGATAGAGATAAGTAAGTTTACTTTTATAACTTATAATTTTATTTTGATTGATTGTATTTATTTTAATCAGCATCATTAGCCCACTTAGGACGATCAAAGATTTACAGAGGATTATAGAAGAAATGTCTTTAAAAATCTTCTTCTCAAGAACCACTGGGCCAGGAAAGATGAAACTCATGTGAAGATGTGAAGGTATAAGTGTAGAAAACTGTAGATCCAAGTTTGGTGAATCTTAAAGAAATGCTGGTGTGGAAAAAAAACCTGCACCTTATATATACTTGTCAAATTCTAATAGATTACCAGCCCATTCATCAAAAGTTTGGGCATACATATAACCTTGGCACCACTGATTAAAAGAAATCATTTATGACAATTACATGTTGTTCTATTTCCATGAATACTTGAGGTATGAACATGTATATTATGTAAGTTAATTATTACATGACCTTTTATGATTTATCTTTGTAGCTCAACTACTTACAAGCTGATAGGAACCTCAGTATATGTGCCATACACTCAGGGGAACTGGAGAGGGACTCTAGGGTCGGATCTGGTGACCTTGACCTCATTACCCAATGTCACAGTGAGAGCTAACATTGCATTCATAACAGAGTCTAAGCAGTTTTTCATCAATGGATCCAACTGGCAGGGCATCCTGGGATTGGCTTACAGCAGTATAGCTAGGGTAGAGTAGTTCTAAAGTTTACCTACATGCATTGAAATTTAGCAGGTTTATTTTTTGCAGAATATAATACGTACTAGTAATGTGTCAAATTTATTTGAAAAAATTCTAATTTTGCTACACAATTTTTTTTACTGTTTTATTCAGTAATGTGTTTCCTCCTAATTGTATTGTCATTTGTAAACCATCAGACAGTTCTATCCAACTTACCGGTACTGTATTGCAATGCTCTTTCATCCAATTTTATTTTCATTTTCAGCCTGACGGTTCCATTACACCCTATTTGGACTCCCTGATAGACAACTCTGGTATTTCAAACATTTTTTCAACACAGCTTTGTGGAGTAAAGTTTGAACAAAAAATTGACCAAGATGTTGAATTGGGAGGTACCATTGTAAGTAAACACTGCAACTTTCTTTTGTTTATTTTTAAAGGAAAAAGAATAGATCATATTATAAATACTGTAGAATCATCATTGTTCCTGGGGAACCAATGTTTGTGGATTTCTTTGGTTACCCTTATCCAAGAATTTACATTCCCATGAACAATATATTTTGTCAATGTATTTATTTATTACACATCTTCTGAATATACAAGTTATCCATGAAATAACACCACTATGAACCAGCATAATTTTGCTTACCCACCAAACATTGACCCCCCACAAAGTCAAAGGGATTCCACAGTAATGGTCTATAGACTATAAGAAAAGTTGCTTCCTTAGTTTATTATGTGCGCACAACTTTGTATATATAAACCCATATAAAGTATTCATGTGCTTTTATTGTAAAGTGTTTTTTTTTTTTGCAGACCTTTGGAGGAGTGGATCCCACCCTTCACAGTGGCCCTGTATATTACACAAACATACACAAACAATGGTACTACGAGGTGGTCATGGTGGATGTGGAAGTTGATGGAGACAGCATCAATCTAGATTGTAAAGAGGTAACTTTTATGTATGAAAATGAAATTATTATGCTTTTACCCTTTATGTTTATTAGATAATGTAAGTTGTAAGGTCAGCCTTTTCCTTCTTTTAAATACATACATGTATCAAGCTTTCAGTATAATAACCCCCCTCCTCCCCCTCTTCCCCTCCAACTTTTTCCAAGTATAAGCTGATATAACGCAACTTTTTATTGAACAAACGTATGATGAAATTCATTTAATTTAAAATTAGAAAATATTAAATTTAACACTCATCTTTTATTACAATATATTTCAATTCATCTATTACAAAACTATCATTTTTTGAAGAATACATTCCAAAATTTTATTGATTTATTTCAGTATAATTTTCCCAAAACCATTGTGGACAGTGGAACCACAGATCTGAGGTTACCTATGAAGGTGTACGCAACAGTGATCAACCACATCAAGACCTATGTCCAGGTATGTTGTAAAACGAGAAAATATGACACACTACTAATTTTAGGCCCTTTTGCACAAGTGGCCCTGAATGCTAAAATTTTTTGTGCACAAACGCATTTCTAAATATGAAACATTTTTGTGTTCAAGGCAATCACTTGTACACGTAAACAAGGATGCATGACCACGTAATAATGCAAAGATGCTGTATTTTTTTTAAGGTAAACTGTAGGACTGATTGAGAAAGTTCTACCAATTCATTAACTAATTAAATTATTGTTACTTAGTTGTTATCCGATATGTATCATTAGCACCTTCAAAGTTTGCTTCTCATGTTGTCAATCATCTATCGCCTCAATGTGAACAATGTGATCAAGCATGACAATTCATCTTGCAGACAATACCTGATTATGATTACCGGTACCAGTTATCCAAGTAACTTTCCATACATAGTTTTAACTTTTATGATGAATAAGATTTGTTTTGTTTAGTTAGAAAAAGTCTAAAATCGACATTTTGCCATGTCTGTGTGCTTGCAACATCATGGAAAAGTAAACAAATGTTTGCCTGTGTATGTAAGTTGGATAGAGAAATGCTATTGTGTTTGAGTGACCACAAAATCAAATTTGTGCCAATGCATTCCAATTTTCATTTATGCTAAAATAAGTATGCACCAAATTTTCTTCTTTTTCAGTATTTAGATATCATGAAGGGCAAAATTGAAAAGTGTAAACAAAATAACCTTAATTCAAGTCATTTTTAGCTCACCTTGACGAAGTCGAGATGAGCTTATACTATACCCCCGGCGTCGGCGTCCCAGGTTAAAGTTTTAGGAGCAAGTCCATTTCCAAGTAACTATAAGTCCTACCTGAACCAAACTTGCATGGATGATGCATCTAGGGATGTACGCTACCAGACTTGCTTCGGATGCTGGATCTGACCTATATTTTCTAGATGAGTGACCAGGTTAAAGTTTTTGGAGCAGGTCCATTCCCAAGGAACTGTAAGCCCTACTAGGACCAAATTTGTATGGATGATGCATCTAGGGATGTACACTACCAGACTTGCTTCGGATGCTGGATCTGACATACATTTTCCAGATGAGTGACCAGGTTAAAGTTTTTGGAGCAGGTCTATTCCCAAGGAACTGTAAGCCCTACCTGGACCAAACTTGCATGGATGATGCATCTAGGAATTGACACTACCAGACTTGCTTCGGATGCTGGATCTGACCAACATTTCCAGATGAGTGACCAGGTTAAAGTTTTTGGAGCAGGTCCATTCCACAGGAACTATAAGCGCTATTTGGACCAAACTTGCATGGATGATGCATCTAAGGATGGACACTACCAGACTTGCTTCGGATGCTGGATCTAACCTTCATTTTCATTCCCAAGTAACTATAAGCCCTAGCTAAACCAAACTTGCATGGATGATGTATCTAGGGATGGACACTACCAGACTTGCTTCGGATGCTGGATCTGACCTACATTTTTATTCCCAAGTAACTATAAGCTCTATTTGGACCAAACTTGCATGGATGATGCATCTAAGGATGGACACTATCAGACTTGCTTCGGATGCTGGATCTGACCTATATTTCCATACAAGAGACCAGGTTAAAATTTTGGGAAGAGATCAATCCGAATGAACTTAAAGTCCTTGATATCTGCAGTATTAACAGTTATGAATATTTGTTTACACGATACATGTTTTTCACGCTACACGCATAGAAATGTGTATATGCCATGTAAGGGGTTAAACACAACTTGCAAGAATATTGTTGTTGGGATGAATACTTAATATTAAGAAAATATGATGTGAGATATGCATTACTTAAACTGATAACATTTGTCGAGGTGAGCTTCATAATCTTTGATTACCTATGTTTGCAACTACAGAAACAATAATACTGTGTAATCATATCAGTTATAATATACTATTCAATCATATCAGATCATAATGAAATATGTTATTTGCCCATATCAAGTAATATTACAAGCATCACATTTTATGGTTTCGAGTAAATGTTCATTTGTATTTCATTAGTTTTCTTGTTTATTGTTTAAGTATTTGAGTTGGATTTTTTTTTCTATTTACAAAATAAGTGTCAAGATAGTATAAAATACTTATGTATTGCACTGAGAGACTGTAATCATGATACAGTCACTGTTAGTGTTAATCTGATCCATTGATCATGATCACAGAAAAGGTTGTGTCTGGGTTATATGAATACAGATGGGTACCAATGTATGCTTGTATCCAGACTCTGTCCCCCACCTGTAACTGGTGGACAACAAGGTTGGAGGCTGACTGGTGGATATAAATAGTAGGTGTTTCAAGCCAAGCCATGACTCCTGCCTTAACTGAGCCATTAATCATTATTTTTGTCCAGAAGGTCTCATGATATGCTGCTACATTAGTACAGAATATGAGGTAGAGTCCGGCCTTTGGGGCAGTGAATACTCCTGTTGTAGGGTTATATCCTCCTCCCACTTGGTATATGACTTTTGGAAATTTAACTGTACCTGTATATGTATGTTGTCCACTTGTCTCTCCTAAAATTCCAGCTGTAAAAGCTACATTGGATTGAACACCTGAAAAATACACAAAACTATTTAACTGTTTGTCCAGAAGAAAATTCATGATTATCACCATATCCAACTCCGGCTGTGAAAGCTACATTGGATTGAACACCTGAAAAAAAAATACAACAGAATAAAAAATGCAGTTCTATTCTTGATTTGATATTGAAATTACATAACATAGAAAGATGTGTATAGTTTATGCAGTTATAGGTACATATACCTACAAAGTTAATGGCAGCTGTTGCAGATAAAAATATCATTTATTAATGGCATTGCAATTATTTTGCTTTGTTTTTTCTTAAGTTTATTTTTATAGTCATGCAAAAGTGTAAAATCTATCTTTTATCCAGAAACATGTAAATGTACATATAAATTATTTTATGGTGACATTAATGTTTAAAACGATTGAGAAATATCATTTTATGCACAGTGACTATAAAGTATGAAATGGCCTGTCCACATGAGGGCATAATTGTTCTGTTTTGAAGCAGGGTCCTGTAGCCTTTCAACTGGGCATTTAAAGAAAAAAGTGGCTAAATATGAATAAATTTTTGACAATGACATAGTTACAATATGTTTGATGTTGAGCTAGATTCATTGTAGACTTATTCCATATTTAGATCTAAGAATTCAAATTGCTTTTTTACCTTATTTTTTAGGAGGAAAAAAATCAGTCTTTTGAATGAGACGGTCCTTTTGATTAGCCTGGATTCAGTGGATATTATACCCCTATGCTCACTTTAAACTTTAATGCTATTCAAAGCAGAAACTACATTTTTAAAACATAAATTCCTTATGAGAGTGCACGTATGTGTGTCTTTTTTTTAAAACAGGCTATGTGATATTGCAATGTTCTTAAATTTCAAAAGTAATTGGAAAACTATAAAATGTGGAGGTGCTTTCCTTAACAAGAGGCCCATGGGCCACATTGCTCACCTGGGCACTGTGGCTAGGAAAAAGCAGAATTGGTTTAAACTTGAAAAGCTTAAATCCAAAAGTAGTCCCAAGACCAATCATGGCTTTGCTATTCTTGAGAAAAAAATTTTTATAGAATTTTCCTATACATTTCTATGTAAACCTTTGGTCGGCCATTTTGGCTTCGCCCTACCCTGGGGCTCATGATTTGAACAAACTTGAATCTACACTACCTGAGGATGCTTCCATGTAAATATGATCAATTATGGCTTTGCTATTCTTGAGAAAAAGATTTTTTAAAGAATTTTCCTATACATTTCTATGTAAAACTTTGGTCGGCCATTTTGGTCCCGCCCTACCCCTGGGGGTCATGATTTGAACAAACTTGAATCAACACTACCTGAGGATGCTTCCATATAAATATTATCAATTATGGCTTTGCTATTCTTGAGAAGAAGATTTTTAAAAAAATTTCCAATATATTTCTATGTAAAACTTTGGTCGTCCATTTTTGCCCCCCCTACCCCTGGGGCTCATGATTTGAACAAATTTGAATCTACACTACCTGAGGATGTTTCCCCATAAGTTTCATCTTTCCTGGCACAGTGGTTCTTGAGAAGATTTTTAAAACATGCCACCAAATTTTCATTAATTCCCAATTATCTCCCCTTGAATGAGGGCGTGGCCCTTCATTTGAACAAACTTGAATCCCCTTTACCCAAGGATACTTTGTGGATAGTTTGGTTGAAATTGGCCCAGCGGTTCTTGAGAAGAAGTTGAAAATGTGAAAAGTTTACAGACAGACGGACAGCTAGACAGACACCGGACAAAATATGATCAGAAAAGCTCACTTGAGCCTTTGGCTCAGGAGAGCTAAAAAATTAAAATTCTCTTACCCCCCCAAGAAAAAAATGATAAATTAAAACATGTTATCGATACGTTACTAACAGTTTAACAGTTTTAGCATTACATGCTTAAAGTCTGTATATCCTTTATCAAAATATTCAACAAAAAAAAACATACAAAAACTGGCTTCGCAAAAAGAAATATTGGATATGTGAAGTGATGGCAGTTTTTGATATCAGAATACATATGATTAACTGGGCAATACATATGATGACTAACAAGAAAATTAATTGCATAATTTAAAATGCCATTTAAAATGAAGAACACATGTTTATTTTTCAGAATTTCATATAGTCAAATAAGGCTATTAGTGAAACTTTCTTTTATAAGATTAGTTATAACTCCATTGAAACACCAGGCTTATAACAGACACATTTATAATGAATAGACACTTTCAGCAAAGTGATTTTCTTATCCCTTCGACTTAAGATACTATGTATATTGTAAACTTAATGGATATAATGAATTACGGTTATAACAAACCAAAGCATCTATCCCTGGAACTTTGTTTTAAGCATGTTTCATTGTATTTCTTCTTTTTGAGTAGAAGAGAATAAAGATTGAAGAGTATACATACGATTTTTAAGATGAATAATGGTATCATTAAGTTTGGTAATGTCTTTTTGCTGGGAATTTGTCAGCATTTGAATCTCACTCTTCATTTGGTTCTGCCGTGCTTCCAAACTAGAAAGAGAAGACGATAATCCTGCTGTGTTATTGTGTACGTCCAGAAGAGAAAGTGATAGATATCGGTCTTTTAATTCCAGGTCTGTGACTGTGGCCGATATGTTCTTAATGATTTTCTGTTCACTGTCTCTGACTGTCTGCTCTACTTCAAAGGTTAGGATGTTCTCTAGCCTTCTTATGTCTTCTGATGTGGTCAAATTTTGTTGTATTAGCATTGAGGTAGAATTCAAAATCTTTATCTCTTCTTTCAAAATTATATTTTCATGAAGCAGAAATGTTGATGTTGAATTCAGATTATCAAGTTTTTCATTCAAGCACATATCATGCTGGGATGTAGTCAATGACAAATTTAAGTTGTCTAGACTTTCTTTCAAGATTTTGTTTTCACTTTGTAAATCTAAAAGTGAGTCCTCAAGGATTTTCATCTTCACTTGGGCTGTCTGATTCCATTGCTTCAGGTTCTGAATCTCTCCTTCTAATAACGTTTGTTGTTGTTCAAAATGCTGATCTTTTAGAGCTTGTTGTTTTTGGTCTATCAATATAGAATCCAACACGGTTTGATTCCATTGCTTCAGTGTCTGAATCTCTTCCTCTAATAACTTTTGTTGTTGTTCAAAACGCTGATTTTTTAGAGCTTGTTGTTTTTGGTCCATCAATATAGAATCCAACACTTGTTCCAGATGAAGAAGTTGTTTGTACACATCAGTATCCGAATGTCCATTGGATGATGCAGAAGTACTATTGGTTTGTCCATGGAACAACAAACTCTCTGCTTTCAAAAATGTGCACAGTAGGACCAAAATGGTGCCTCTAATCCAGTGCATTTTGGTGTTTTATGGTAAAACTCAAACATACAGGATATTAGGGGTGGCGTGGCTTTATCGTAAAACAAAATGTTATCATCTGATAAAAAAAGAAATCAGCTAGATGATTACTCTTATCTTTTACCTGTATATTTGAATAACTGGTCGTTATTCATGCATTGCAAATAGCAATTAATGGTTTATTTTGAAAAAGAAAAAGCACCAATACCAAACTAATATTCCTTGAAAAAAAATCAGATTACATTTAAGACAGACCCATTAAGCCAAAAGCACAAGTAAGCATTTAATTCTGATCGAAAATTGACCATTGCCTGATGTTGTCCTAAACTTTTTACATTCCCCCACCATCTTTGGCACCACTGGGCTATAACACTTTCAATAAAACTAACATTTAAGAGTATCTTTACTATGTGAATTGGCTTTAAGCACTTAGGAGTTGGAACTCGAAGGCCTAACCCCCTCTCCCCATTTTTTTTGCAAAAGGGGGGAAATAAATATAAAAAAGGGTGGGTATCTTACAAACTTCCCAAGAACCAGTGGTCAGGGTAAGAAAATAAATGAAAGTTTCCTGACACAGTCATTAGTGGGAATTCAAGTTTGATCAATTTGTAGTCCCCTGGAGTAGGGTGGAGCTGTTTACATTATTATAATGAACATTGATCCCTCTATTAAAATTGTGAAATCTATTGAAATAAATGAAAAGGGACTGCATAAGCAATCTAATGGGTATCATGTATTTATTAAAAAATACACATTGTACAGTGCATCTTTTAAATATTTGAACAAGTAAGTACCGGTATATTACTGAGTTGTGATTTGATTACATGTACCAGGGTATTTGTTTATGTATTGTAGAAATCTCCCAATGCTCCACCATTGAGTCTTGGTTTTTGGAATGGAGACATAGACTTGTGCTACAAAGATGGAGCTATTCCTTACAACATATTTCCATTTGTAGCCTTAGAGTTTGCTGAGAATGATCAACAGTCTTTCAAAATCATTGTAGCTCCACAGGTATAAATTTGTACAAAGCATGATTTAGTGAAAAGAATTTTTTACAATATTGTACAGACTATAAGAGAAACCAGTTGCTAAAGTATCCTAGGTATTATTCTTTCTTTTATTCATCTATTTTTTTTCTTTTGTTCATTTTCAGCAATACATTAAATCTGTTGGTAAAAAAGATGACAACAACCCAGATGAAATATGTTTCAAGCTTGGTATTGCAAACTCCACATCAGGTATAAAGTGGCATAAAAAACAAATAATAAGATACAGGGAATGATTCATTTTCCATGCATGATTGAATTCAGCAACAATATCTAAGAGGATGACATTTGAGTGAAAATTCTTGCTTAAAAAGTATTGAACTAGCCTTTTATTAGCCAAGGAAGAGTAAATGTTTTATCACATTGATAACTATTTGATGAAATACAAGTAGATTGTATTTTTTTTTCTTTTTTAAACCATGGCTCCTGGATTGACCACAGACTCTAACTCAGTTTATTGAGAAAAAAAATAAATGTAAAATGACCATTAAGACCCAATAACCTCTTGTTAAAAAATCAAAACAAAATGTTGTTAATGATAAATAACAAAAATATCTCTTATGACACAGGCTCAGTGATTGGAGCAGTGATAATGGAGGGGTTTTATGTAGTCTTTGATCGACAGAACAACAGAATTGGGTTTTCAGACACAACATGTCCTGCGGTGGCCCAGATGTATAACAAATCACATGTGTCTGGGCCTCACAAATTTTCAGGTCAGTATGCAAGACTTCATCTCTGGTCAACACTATGGTTCTAGACCTTATTTGTAAAGTAAAGTGTCTTTCCATTCACAATTCATGGGAAAATGTATAAGTTTGGTATGATTTGAATAAAAAGTTACCTGGAAAAAATGTCGGTAAAATGTGAAAGGACAAGGTATTGTAACAGTCAAATGTGGCCGGCCCTTATTAGATGTAAAAATCAGAACATAGCTAGTTTAATCAGTGATAGTTTGTAGTTAAGAACTTAATTTCCTCAATACTGGTTGGAATTTTGTCAAATTTGAAATACTTTTCACTTTGGGAAACTTCAGCACAAGTTTGCTTAATTAACTGAGATTTTAATACACAGGATACTTCTGATGCTAGTGTATGAAATAGATATATTTGGCAGATAGGCAAGTTTGTGCTCTATGTTTTCAAAGACAAAATTTGCTGTAAAATTGATGAAAATTTACATAAAAATGAGAAAAGGATAAGTGCACTTAAGCAATACTTAATGGGCCCTTTTTATGTGCCATTTTACTTCAAAATATATTACCAAATCGTCCTCTATTGGTAATAGTTAGATACTAGTGGATATTTCTAATCAAAAAGCATGTTAAGCGTCACTGAAATTAGCATGGATTTGAAACAATTGAATATTTTGAAAGGCCTATGGATACCCTATAAATCCGGAAAAGTCGTACCGAACCTTCTTTTAGTTTCCTTTATGTAAATCAAGGGAATAGATATTTAAATCGATGCTTGAACAATCTGATGGTGGATCATAGTCGGGCGCGTTTGCGGAATGATATTTCATACGCCAAACCTGTTTTTAGAAATATGGAATGAAGTTGTGCAGTTACCTGTATCTAAAATGATTAAACTAAGAAATTGGTACTCTTCCATTTGAAAATTACAATAATAGTTTCATTGAATTTGAAATTAAAAAGGAGTGTTATAGGTGGCTTTCAATACCTGTTTCATTGTCTTGCATGAAGGTTAAAAATGTTTGACACTTTATGAACGACACTTAAATCTCCTTTCCCTCCCGTGTTCTTAAAAACAAATACATAAAAACATCTCTAAGCGGCACGACTTTGACTTACTGAAACAAAACCTGCCTATGTTTTACAGTGAGCACTTTTTGGGAATGTTTACCTGGGTAGAACTCACGTGACTATCAGTATTTTAAATAATTTATTCCACACGTGGGTTCAACATGGGTCATACAGGTAAATAGCTCTCACTTGCTATAGGAAGAACATTGTACTTTTTACATATTTTTAATATTTTAAGTACGAGCCTAATCGTGTGCAAATTTCATACTTTCACACAAGTTTTATTAATGTAATATGCGTCTTTTGTCATTCGCACAAGTTTGCACAACGTTAGGCTCATAGTTAACAAAGGCTTTGAAATGAATGACCGTTCTCGATTTACTATAGAAAATCGCCAATGTCGGCTGACCCCTACCACATTGTATAGTTTTGTTCTTTGTATATTCGCGGGTTTCAGCAGTAAAATTTGTTGAATCGTATGGTTTAGATATCAATTAATGATTTGAGATGAAAATTTTTTCTTAATTTGAATGTTTATTTTTTCACATTCTACCGGGGCCCATAAGTGCACTCGTTCTTTGGTAATTGATATATTTTTGACCTCCTTTTGAATCCCATAACTAGGAACCAATACTCATTGTGTGGCAGGGGTAGAAACAAGTTTTCATTGATAAACTACATTATTCTAAAGAATGTGCCAAACAAGGGGCAAAAAAAAGGGCCCTTAATTAGCCTATTACCGTAAATCTGGAAATTTTTACGTCTATTTTATTTTGCGAATTCGGGTCAAAATGCTGTTGATTAATTTTTACGTTTCAAAATTTTGCGAATGACCACTGCTTTGTTGACATTTTCTTACTGGTAATTTATTTTTAAGAAAAATATTTTTGCGAATGCAATAAACTTGCAAATTTGCAAAAAATTTATCTACAGCAAAAATTTCCAGATTTACGGTATGTTGTTTAGGGGTTTTAAAGCATGCACATATTAATTAATGTTTTTGCATGCTTTATGCTGACCAACAATTTTGCCAAAGTTAGCACCCAAAAAATATTGGGAGGCTACACTGACCAATTCTCATCAGAGCTATGTGCTAATTGAAGTTTCACTTGTAAAATGGTTCTTACAGTTATGTTAACTCTGTTCTGCTATAGCTGAGCTGTCATGATCACATCTACAAAAGACACACTTTTGTCAATCCCCTAGTGGGCCTAGGGTTTGCTCTGACTTGACAGTGATGTAGGCCATCTTAACTCATGTGCAGTGAATTTGATACTGTAAACAGCTTTTTATTCGGAAGAACTTTAGTTTCTTGTAATTACGCAAGACACTGTTCTTGTGAAACTTTCATTCTCGCATATATAATTGTTCCTTAATGGTTATATAGAATAATAACCACAATTCGTAAAAAAAAAAAGTTCTCTGTCTTGCTAATAAAGAATTGATGACTGTATTGCAAAAATAAGGTATCTCAAAAATTTAGTAAAATATTTGCTTTACACAACATCCTTTTTGCCTATAAATGTCACTTTTAATTCTAGGGTCGATTGAAAACTGTGCCTATGCCAAACCAGAGAAATCCAATAAAACCCTGGTCATTGTGGCGTACGTATTAGCGGGGATCTGTGGAGCCTGTATCCTGCCTTTGTTTATTCTCTTTATTCAGTATCAATGGCGGACGTCAAAGTGTTACGAGAAAATGAAGAGACAGAATTCTGATGGAGATTCCAATGACTTAATTGATGAACCAAACTTTATGCATGATTCTTAATTGGACGATTTTGTCATGGGAGTGTCTACTAGTGATAGGGGTTAAATTTATCTATGGTAGGTTATTACTAGATATTCTTTGACTGTTGAATATTCTAGTGGGAAGTGTTTTCTTTAATTTTTTTAAAAAAAGTTATTATTATTCTCTGTGTTAATCATGAGTATATCCATGCCATCTTTAAGGTCTGTATAGAAATTCAGATCTTCATATTTGTAGATACTTGACAATGTAATCAATATTTCAATTCATGTAGGCTATTGTATAAGGCATAATATGGTTGTTTAATCTTAAAAAATATAGTTTGACTAGATATATTTCATTGGAGCACTTTTTAAGATGTTGATGTATGTGGAACTTGTATGTTTGAATATGTAATGCCTGGTGTTAAAAATTACTGCTTGACATTAGTAAAATATACTAAAAGATTGTCTTTACTAATATTTTACCCATTTTATATTATAAAATAATTTTGTTCAATTTGTTGAAAGTAGGTTGCATTTCACATTTAATTTAACAATGGTTGTACATGTATATACTCTGAATCATGAAAAACTATAACTAATCAACAGGTATTGAATGTCAACACATCTAAATTGTACAGGGCATATGTGTTGTTTAAGAATATATTTTTCTAGATTTCCATGTTGATTCTATAAATGAAGGTTTACAATTCCTGCCTGGAAACTGTTGCCTAATATTTAGAAAATCAACTATATATCTACTAACCGTGTTAATTAAGTAGTTCTTTAAGATTTGGTCATCTAACAGGAAATTTTATGTTATTTGATTTCAGATGAAACTGCTGATGTCATTGGTATCATACATGTGCCTGCATCCATATTTGTCATCAAATATTTTCGTTTTCTTGTTTGTTATTGATAGAGTAGATTTATGGAAGTTAAATTGTTTTTATAGGCAGCTACAGATATGTGTTAAAGCTATGGGTTATACTCATAGGAATGAGACAGAAAATTTTCTGGGGCCCAGAGGATTTAGAACTGGAGTTTTTTTTTATGTGGCATTATGGCAAAGTAAAAAATCTAGTACATTATGAAGCAATAGAAAGTGTCAAAATAGTGTTTTAAAATTCCTTTAGAAATTCTTTTCATTTTATTTCCAATACTCAGTGTACATCTGCTAAATACTGAAATATTTTCATTGTGATATTTCACTGTGTTGGTTTATTTCAAGCTTCTGAGAATTTAATAGTTAATAGAGGGAATTTTAAGTAGATTTTAAATGTTATCTATATGTGTAGCTACTGTTATTAGTTGATATTAAAATGGGTTGCATTACCTTAAGAATTTAAATTTGTCTCTCATGTTCATTATACTAATTGACATTATATTCTCTATTATTTGTATGTCATTCATTTATCTCATTTACATTCTTCATGGCTTCAGATTTTCTAAAAATAATTATCAAACTATTTTTTCATATGACATATGTTAAATAAACTGCTACTCCATCAACCACATTTTAAAATTTTTGACTTGCCTATAGGTTATAGCTTATATGATGTAGTTTTAAAAGAGTATATAAAATATGCAATTCATGGTGCAATATATGATGTAGCAGTCGGCTTATTGATGCATGAAATGACAAGACAACAAATAGAAAACATTCTAAAAAGTCCATATATAAGCAGAGCCAACATAGTCCTATGTAAGCAGAGATTGGATCAGTTGCTATAGAGGAGTAAACGCTCCCTGTCAACCGGGCACACCAATCTTATAATTGTTTAAACAAAAAATCCTGAGACAAATATTACTGTTTAAGGTTTCTTTTTCCCCCAATATATTAAAATATTGCCTTATATTTCTAGTAAATCCTTTATTATAGTAATAAGGAACCTATCTCTAAATGAATTGAAGATAGATATTTTTAAAGCCATATATGGCGTAACTGATCAAAAAAATATATTTTTGAAAAATACAAAATTAAGTTAAGAAATATAGTTTATACATTTAAATTAAAGCTTTTCATACAATTCTGAATACGGAGAACACCTCGTTTCATCCAATAATACAATTTTATCTTCTCTAAAATGTGTTATTTAAATCTTTTGTATTTTCTTCCGAGTCGGAGAAAATTCTGAGAATCCAAATTAAATTGTGATATCTTTTTAATGCAATTGACTTAGATTTTGTAATTTACGGAAAAGTTCTATCTTTATATAAAGTAATGATACAAATGATATGTTCTTATAATTTTAGTCTAATAATTTTCATTGTACATACGCCATATATGGCTTTAAAAGAAACATGTAGTCGATACATTTAGAAATAGGTCTGTTGATTTAAAAATAGGCTTTATAAATTAATCGAAAGTAAATAATTCTATAATGTATTGGGGTACAATTTCTACATTAAAAATAGTCTAATCATTGATTTCTTATAAAGCAAAGTAAAAAGTGATCGAGACCGAATTTATAAACCGAGGTCCCGTGTCGCACAGGTGCTGGCACGAAAAAGATCCCCCACTGCTCATTGGCCACGAGTACCGTGTAGAGACAAAATTTGCAGCTCAATCTGCAAGTGATTGCGTCCCCATATAAGTGAAAAATTCTCAAAAGGGACGTTAAACAATATAAAATCAAACAACGATATAACTGAAACAACGCAAGATTTTGAAAAATAAACTATATAGGGCTAGAAAGAAATCTCGATATTTCAAACAGTTGTGAATTTCTGTTATACAGTGGACCCTCATTTATCCGGACGCTTTGGTTCCCTGTCAATTTGTCTGGAGACATGAAGCATCCGGATACCTGAATCACCAGTAAAACAAGACAAAATAACATTTAGAAATTTCGTTCCGATGAAAAATCATCCGGATACTGAAGCATCCGGATATCTGGCGTCCGGATATCTGAAGGGCTACTGTTTATGTATTCAGGATCGTCGCCAGGTCTTAATTCGGTTTGTATATAATCTTTGCCTCTGTTCTGTCCTGTTCTAAATAGTACTATTAGACATTTCCAGAGTTCGCGAACTCAAGCTCGTACTCGTACATGGATAAAGGGATACTTAGGGGATGCGATCAAAAGACAATTTTCATGTTGAATAGATTATCTTACTAACACTCAAACGTAAATATATATAACCCCTACCTAATTCAATGAAGGTAAGACATTTAAAGTGTTTAAAATGTTTACACTATATATTACAATTTGACAAACGATACGTCTCAGACTTTTCAACCTCTCATACGACCCCTCTTTGTTATCAGTAAGCAAAGTCCGAGTTTGAACTCGCTAAACTGGAAATGTTTATTAGCATGGATCTGTCGATATTACTAGATATTCTTTTTACTGCTGAATAAATATTTAAGAGTTCTAGTTGGAAGTGTTTTGCTTAATTCTTTAAAATAAGTAATTACTCATTTTTGTATAAATCATTAGTAAAATCGTGTTATCTAATGTCTGTATAGAAATCTTCATATTTCTAGACTCAAGTACGTACTTGACACTGCGATCATTTATATACACGCACTTTCTGAAGAGTATGAACGTGTAAAATGTAGGAGGAATTTAGGGAAGATGCGGCTCTTTCCATAAAAAAAGTAATTTTTCGACCCCCATTTGACCCCTTGGGCAATATCAAAATTCGGAACCCCTACTGCACATCTACATGACACCACAAACCATAGTCCGAAAAATCTGACGTTTTCCTGGCTTTTTAACGATTTTGATATTTTACATGCCAGGAAATTTCCTGGCATGTAAAATATCAAAATCGTAAAAAGGCCAGGAAAAAGTCAGATTTTTCGGACTACACCAACCATCTCCCAGTCCACTGCACAGTGTAAAATGTAGGAGGAGTTCAGGGAAAAAAAGGATGACAGACGGACGGACGGACATGAATAACACGAATACATGTATACCCGAACTTTCTCCAGAAAGTGCGGGTATGAAGATACTTAAATATAGAAATCTCGTATTCACGTCATGTTCTAAAACAATGGTTGGTATGGCACGCCAAATCCACAAAAATGAGCAAAACATAGTTTCACAGTCGATAAACTAGGTTTATCGATTGTTAACTATAGTTAACAACGTTAATCTATATTTTACATCTGTAAACCATAGTTAACGCGAAAATCTATGTTTCACAACCGGTAAACTATACTTAACATCGAAAATAATCATTTGCGATTGCAAAACATAGATTATATCTGATAAATACAGCTTCACGATTTGTAAACTATAGTTTACAAACCGTTAACTGTAGTTAACGATCTGATAAATATAGTTTCACGATTTGTGAAACTATGATTAACAACTCTTAACTATAGTTTACGATTGTAAACTATAGTTTACAAACGTGAATCTATGTTTATCAACAAAATTTATTGTTAACGCTTTATTCAGACAGATAATTATATTAAACTTAGATTAACATTCGTAAACTATAGTTATCGACCGTTAAATATTGTTTAACAGATGAAAACTATACTTAACGAATCGTTAACTTTAGTTTACGGTTTGTAAACTATAGTTTACAGTCGATAAACCTAGTTTATCAATTGTGAAACTAGGTTTATCTCATTTTTGTGAATTTGGCGTGCCATAGGTTGCACTTTAAAATATGCGATAAGGAAAAACAATTTTATGTTTGTTAACAAAGAGGAATATACAATACAAAAAAGGATTCCTTTTGTATCAACTAAAGCTCAAACTGTGACAACTAGAGAAAAGGTAACAATAAGGCAATTTTAAGCGAGAACTATACCAACAATATAACACTTTCTATTTTATTGTGTTGCGTTTATCAGAACCACTGAAAACATAGTGTCTGGAACATTGGAGTACGAAGAATCAGTAAGAAACATTTGCATCCAGACCCTATCTCCAACCTGTAAATGATGGACAACAAGGTTTGAAGCTGAAAGATATGTATCGACAGATGAAGTACCATAAGCCATAACCCCTGCCTTTGCGGATCCGTTAATCATTATTTTTGTCCAAAAGACTTTGTGCATGCCATTTACTGTAGTTCAGAATATAAGGTAAAGTCCGGTTGTAGGGACTGTAAACACTCCTGTTTTGGAGTTATATCCGCCTCCCACCTGGTACATTACATGCTGGAATACAACAGTCTCTCCTTGAGAATATGTCCCTCCATTTGCTCCAGCTGTGAAAGCTACATTTGATCGACTAACTGTAGAATGACAAAAAATAATAAACTTCATAATATAATTAACAGTGAAATAGTATAACAACCATAAAATCAAAGCCCTTTCTAACCGCAGCTACTTAATTTTTGTTGTGAATGAAAATACCTTATATAAACCCTTTATCAATGAAAGAACATGATATTCAATAATACATTTGTTAGCAGTTTCAATAGTTATTTTTAAAATAGAAATAAACACACGTACCAGTCTGAAGCTGGGAGAGTGAAGCATTTATCTTTGTAATGTCATTTTGTAGGTGTTGCACATGGGTATATGTGATATTTTGCTGTTCTATATAATTTGAAAGTAGAGACGCTAATCCAGTAGTGTTATTGAACACATCTAGAAGAGAACGGGATAAATATCGGCTTTGGAGTTCCAGATCCTTTAATTTGGCAGATACATTCTTAATCATCTCCTGTTCTCTGCTTATTAGTCTCTGCTCCATATTAAAAGTTATTATGGTTTCCAGTTTCCTTATGTCGTCCTGAGTTGTCATGTTTTGTAGTAAAAGTAAAGTCAAAGAATTCACATTGTTTATTTTTTCCTCCAAAATCTGATAGAATGAAGTACAGGTAAAATTCAATTTTGTCCAAGGTTAATTTAACAACGGTATTTTGTTGCTGTGAGTGGGTGAAAGTTGCATTCAAACGGTTTAATTGACTTTTTAGGAGACCATTTTCTTTCTTCAGATTAGCAAGTTCATTTTCTAAGGAAGTTACTCTCACCTGCTCTGTTTGATTAACTTTTAAAAGATTCAATGTTTGTATCTCTTTTTCGAAATTTGTCTGTTGTTGCTGAAGTCGCTGATTTTCTAGCTTTACAGATGCCAGGTCTATAAGTACTGAATCCAGAACTGTTTCCAGATGAAGTAGTTGTTTGTATACCTCGAGTTCGGAATTCCCTTTAGATGGAAATGTGGCATTCTCTTGCCTCTGTGACAATACACCCTCTGCATTAAAAACCATACAGAAAAACACAAAACAGGTGCTTATAGCCGAATTCATTTTAACTGAAGCAGTGAAGATAAATTATACTAAGTCCACATTTTTTAAACAAGTTATCATAAACAAATAAAAATGATTGCTTGTTTGTCATACATAAATGTACTGATGCGTTTTGTACATGTATATACTTATGCTAATGATAAAGTTTATAATCTCTTAAATTCATATCCCCAAAGACATTATTATTTTGCTTTTATCATGGGGCCTCGATTTACGTATTTTTTTTTTAAAAAGAAGTTTGAACAACATATTGACCAAGATGTTGAATTGGGAGGAACCATTGTAAGTAAACACTGCAACTTTTTGCTGAAAAGTATAAATCATATTATAAAAACTGTGGTATCATCGTTGTTCATGGGGAACCAATGTTCATGGATTTTTTCGATTACCCTTCTCCAAGAATTTACATTCCCATGAACGATTTATTCTGTTAATGTACATGTATTTATTCAATACAATCTTCCGAATATACAAGTCATCCATGAAATAACGCCCCAATGAACCAGCACAGTTTTTCTTCCCCACCAACATTGCCCCCCTCCAAAAAAAAAATTCAAAGTAGTGGTCCATAGAGTTTAAGAAAAGTTTCTTCCTTTGATGATTACTGTTTGTGCTCACAAATTAGTATATACCCCTATAAAGTATTCATGTGCTTTTATTTAAAAGTGATTATTTTTTTTGCAGACGTTTGGAGGAGTGGATCCCACCCTTCACAATGGCCCTGTATACTACACAAACATACACAAACCATGGTACTATAAGGTGGTCATGGTTGATGTGAAAATATTTACATTTCCAATGTCTTTGTCCGAGATAAAATTACCAATTGTAAATGTACTTTATTTCCCCATCAATGTTTTGGCGCGGTTCCAAAAAAAAAAAAAAACACGTGCAGGGCGGGACAAACAGCTAGACAGAAGCAGTGCTTGGAGCATGTGGATTGGCGGAATCAAAGCATATAAATATAAGGAATAACTGTCAAATTTTTCAATTTCATGAAGATGATCAATCGGCGTTTTTGCAATTTATCACGCAAGCCAATCGATTGATCACTTCATGAAATCGAAAAATAAGACAGTTATTCCTTAAATAGATGGAGACAGCATCAATCTAGATTGTAAAGAGGTAACTTAATCTTGTAATAAAAAAATTATTGGGCCTTTTCCTTCTTTTAGAGAGATCTTAATCATAATTTTTTATACAGTAAATTCATATACACTTAACAAAACTTCTAAGTGTTCACTTTAATAAATGCATTTATTTAAAAAGTACTTTATAGAATGGTATGATATTTTCACACTATTACAACAAATGAGTCTTCTCAGCAACTGTAGAAAGAAAATTCAACATCACCGATGAAAACCAATGTTCCGTGACGAAGCTTAAAAACAATAAATCTGTACTTTGCAGCACGTGTTTTGTGTAATAAGCATCTTTTTGTGATCATTATCAAATTTTAAAAACTGGTTTCACTAAAAAACACAAAACATTGGCAAAATAACCATTGATGTAGAGGGGAGATTATGATTACCAGTGATCCAAGTAACTTTCCATACATGGTTTTAAGATGAATAAAATGTGTTTTATTTAATTAGAAAAAGTCTAAAATTGACATTGTGCCATTTGTCCATGTGATTGCAACATCATTAAAAAGTAAAAAAATATTTACCTGTGTATTTTTAAAAGTTGGATAGATTAATGCTATTGTGTTTGAGTGACCACAAAATCAAATATGGGCATGGATCAAAGGAAAAATTATCACATTTATATATTTTAATGACAAGAGCAATCGCTAAAATTTATTTGCGAAAATGCATTCCCCCTTGCATTTGCGTTAAAATATGTATGCACCAAAGTTTCTTCTTTTAAAGTATTTATAAATATCATGAAGGGCAACATTGAAAAGTGTAAACAAAATAACCTTAATTCAAGTCAATTAATTTGCAACTACAGAAACAGTAATACTATATAATCATATCAGTTATAATACTATGTAATCATATCAGATCATAATGAAATATATGTTATTTGCCCATTTCAAGTAATATTACAAGCATCACATTTCATGGCTTGAGTTAATGTTCTTTTTCATTAGTTTTCTTGCTTATTGTGTATTTGACTTGGAATTTTTTTTCTGTTTACAAAATAAGTGTAAAGAAATTATAAAATACTTATATAGGGCACTGAGAGACTGCAATCATGATACAGTCACTGGTACATGTAGTATTAATCTGATCCAGTGATCATGATGACAGAAAAGGTTGTATCTGGATAAGCTGAGTACAGATGACTACCACTTTCTACTTGTATCCAGACCCTGTCCCCCGTCTGTAACTGGTGTACAACAAGGTTGGAGGCTGACGGGTGGACATCAACAAATCCATCATTATAAGCCATGACTCCAGCCTTAACTGAACCATTAATAATTATTTTTGTCCAGAAGGACTCACGTTCTGCTGCCACATTAGTACAGAATATAAGATAGAGCCCAGCCTTTGGGGCGGTAAACACGCCTGTTGTAGGGTTGTATCCTCCTCCCACCTGGTAAATGACTTTTGGGAATTTAACTGTACCTGTATATGTATGTCTGCCACCTTCTCCTATAATTCCAGCTGTAAAAGCTACATTGGATTGAACACCTAAAAAAGTACAAAAGACAGTAATTTGCAATTCTATTCAAGTCATATTGATTTGGTATTGAAATTATATATAACAGGAAAAGCAATGTGTATAACTGATGCAATCAGTTACCTTATAAATATATAGTGAAGTCATGCAAAAATATATCATTTAGTTTTCTAAATTCAGACCGACCATTCAAACATGCATGATTAAGATTGGAGTCATGTTAAGAATAATGTGTAATTGCTTTCACCAGTACACTTGCAGTTCGACTCTACATGATGAATTATATCATTCAACAGGTCAATCGAAAACAAAACAAGGTTAACACAGTCATAATAACAGAAAGAAGAAGTTTGTTTAAATAGGGATGTCAACAAATATTCGAGTACTCGACTATCGTTAGATCATACCGACTATCGACTAAAATTTCTTAAGACGGTTATTCGTAAAAAATGTGTTTCATCAAAGTAATATTGAATTCAAGGCAATAAACTTATATATGCCCATTTCTTTTATTTACAGATCAATATTTTCATATGTAAAAATTAAGGGTATTGTATAACTGTTCAAAGGAAATTATTTGTACGTCGATGTATTTTCGGCAAACATATCTACAAAATATAATTATGTAAATTGGGGTCAGTTATGAGAGTAATTAAACAGTGTTTTCTTTTTCTGATATTAATTTTATGTTTTTATAAGAGACACGCTTTAATTGTTTACCTGTCAAAGATCATTGACGGACATGTAGAAATTGGCTTCAATTATGGGGTACATGTACTACTGTTATGTAAATAAAGGACAAATACAAGCGTTTGATATCCTGCATTTAGATAAAACGTGCAGCTAATATTTTAATTTTGAAATTAGATACATTAGATACATATTGATGTACAGTTTTTATTGTACTACATCCATGTTTACAATTCAGAAATTCGTTGTATAATGGTGATAGCGTAGGTTAAATATTGTAAGACAAACAGTGAAGATGATATGAAAAAAGATTTAATGAATATTCGACTATCGTTCGACTAAAGCATCCGACTATTCGACTAAGCTGTCCGAGTAAAATTAACATCCCTAGTTTTAAACATGTTTTTTTGTAAAATTAGGTTTGAGCAGTACATGTTTGTCAGCCCGTTTTCTGTTAATATAAATGTATTATTTTATTCAAGATACAACTACAGATTTCTTAAGAACAGCAGAAAAACATACCTATATTGCAGACTAAGCATTAAGAAGATGAAAAAAGTCTGATCCTAGAAAACCTTATGCTTTTGATATTTATTTGGTTTTCCTGTAGAAAAGAGTTTTTTTAATTCATATCCATAGCATGAACAAACAGTTAAGTGTTGATGATTTATATTAACGACTTTCAATCCTGATATTTATAGTCTTAAAATTTTTTTTGCCGAGTATATTTTAAGTTTCTAAATACATAGCTTAATTAAAATTCAAATCAAAAAATAGGGGTCAATATGCTTCTTTTTGCACTACAGTACTTTTAATATGACCTTTTTGCACTGAAATTTGTGTCTTAATTAAAAATTACACCTTCGACGTTTTCCCTGCAATAATTTTATCCAATTAAAGCAAGAAACAAAATGAACTCTAAGTCTGTTTAAAATAAGACACTTTAAAATTGTAACTAAGAAAAAATTTAAAATCACTTTGCATATTTAATTATTTGACCTTTCTACACTAATATATTGTGATTTTTCTGGCATTGAAAATTTAATAAACAAGAAAATTATTTTAAAGTCTTAAACTTTTTCTGAATTTAAGCAAATAGGTCAAAGTTACCTTGAATATTTAGAAAAGAACATCAAAAGTGGGGGTATATGATGTTAATTTTCAGATATTACTAAAAAAGTGTCAATTTTATGTTAAATTTGGCTCAATTTTTTCCTTGGTTTTCAGAATATTTTAACTATATTTGTCACACTTTGTTGATAGAATTCATTAGAAATAATTTAATAGATATTTCAGAACCAGCATGTCACATTTTACTGCAAAAACAGCTTTGTGTGCAACCAGCATGGAAAAATAAGAATCCAATATAAAGAGTACTGTTATAGTTCAAAAGGGAAAAACATGATTTTTGTCTAAAAAAAACCTTCCGCCACAAAATATAGTCCTTAGTTTAATTCAACTTGAATGGAATTTAATCGTGGTTTTTTATTTAATATACACGTAGTTCAATTTGCACTGTAGAATTCAGATTCAATGTTTGAATTTAGAAATGATGCAGAATTTTATAAATAAAGGACATGACATTAATCGACTCAAAAACTCAGGATCGAACGTCCTTCAGGAAAGAAATATACATGCATTTAATAGAACTTTAATTTTAGGCCTCTATTATTCAGGGGCCCGTTTTACAAAAGGACTTACCACTTAAGACCAAGTATAATTATTCATATAACTTTTTAATTAATATTATATCGAAAATTATTTTAAACATTTTAAAAGGAATGTGGTAAGATATTTTACACAGACAATTTAAAAGAGAACTATTAATTTTGCAAAATTTTACAATATTCTGAAGTTTTTGGTCTTAGTCGTAAGTTCTTTTGTAAAACGGGCCCCAGGACTCTTAACTTCAACCATTCTTTGAATATCTTTCATTTATATAGGTCTTTGATTTTATGCGCATTGATTAAGACTTGTTTTTAGTTTACTTTTCGAAGAACAGAAGAGCTTATGCTATAGTAAGATCGTTGTCCGTCAGTCTGTCTGTGTCTCATACAGTTTTTGTTGGATTTCAATATAACTCTACACAGGTAGAGTGCAATAAGATAAATATTTCTGTGTATCAGTTTTTGAGATTTCGATAAACCATGTTGACACGGTTACTAAAACTTCCACTCAGATGAACATTATACTCAGGATATAAAAATAGAGGGTTTGGGGTGCACTCCCCTTTTACTTTTTTCTGAATGTAAAATATGATGGAATTCAATTTAGAATGAAAACATTCATTGCAAGCCTGGTTGTTATATAAAGTAAATTACATATGATTTTCCCCCCAGAATTCAAATGTCTCTTAACAATTTCACTCCTAAGTTTTTAAAGTTTTTGTTCTTTTTTAACAGAACTGAAAGAAAAAATAAAAATATACGTACGATTTTTAAGATGGATAATTGTATCATTAAGTTTGGTAATATCATTTTGCTGTGAATTGGTTACTGTTCGGATTTCACTTTTCATCTGTTTCTGTTGCGCATCCAGACTAGAAAGAGAAGATGACAGTCCTGCTGTGTTATTGTGTACATCTATCAGAGAAAGTGATAAATGTTGTATTGTCATATTCTGTTGCTCTTCGTTTGTCTTCTGTTGTTGCTTGAGCTTGGAAAGAGAGTGCTCAAGGATTGTTATGTTGCTGTGTACATCCAACAAAGAAAGTGATAGATATCGGTCTCTTAGTTCCAGGTCTGTGACTGTGGCGGATATATTCTTCATTATTTCCTGTTCTCTGAATCTGACTGTCTGCTCAATTTCAAATGTTAGGATGTTCTCCAGCCTTTTTAAGTCTTCTGATGTTGTTAAATTTTTTTGCATAAGCATGGAAGTAGAGTTAAGAATCTGAATCTGATCTTTCAAAACTATGTTTTCTTGAAGCAAAAATGTTGATGTTGAGTTCAGATCATTCAGTTTTTCATTCAAGCAGACATCCTGATGTGATGACGTGGATGAAGTATTCAAGTTGTCTAGTCTTTCTTTCAAGATTTTGTTTTCACTTTGTACATCTATAAGTGAGTCCTCTAGGATTATTATTTTCATTTGTGCTGTCCGATTCCATTGCTTCAACATCTTTATCTCTCCATTTAATAACCTTTGCTGTTGTTCAAATTGCTGGATTCTTAATCCTTCTGATGTTTTCAAGTTTTGTTTTGATAAAGTGGATGAAGAATTCATGTTTTCTAGTCTTTCTTTCAAGTTTTTGTTTTCACTTTCTAACAATGATATCTTCTTTTGGGCTGTTTGATTCCATTGCCTCAGGGATTGAATCTCTCCCTCTAAAAAGGTTTGCTTTTGAGCTTGTTGTTTCTGATCCCTCATTATTGAAATTAAAACTGTCTCCAGATTTAGAAGTTGTTTGTACACATCAGAATCGGAATGTCCATTTGATGCAAAGGTACCATTGGTTTGTCCATGGAACAACAAACTCTCTGCTTTCAAAAATGTACACAGAAGTACCATAAAGGTGCTTATAATCCAGTGCATGTTGGGGATTAGTGGTAAAACTCAAACAGACAGGATATTAGAGGTGGCGTGGCTTTATCATAAACCAAAATGTTATCATCTGATAAAAAAGAAATCAGCTATATGATCACTGTTATCTTTAACCTGAATGTATATTTGAATAACTGATTGTTATTCATGCATTTCAAACAGCAATTGTTAAATAAAAATGAAAAAGAAAAGCACCAATACCAAAAAGAATGGTCATTGAAAAAATACAGATAACATTTAAGACTAACCCATTAAGCTAAAGGCACAAGTGAGCACTTCTGATTGAAAATTGACCATTGACTGATGTTGTCATAAACTTTTCACAATTCTCTCCCCATCCCCAGAACCACTGGGCTATGGTACTTTCAATAAAACTAAAAGCTTAGTATCTTTACTAATGTAAATTGGATTTATAAGCATTTAACATTTTTAAGTGTTGGAACAAGAGGGCCTAGTGCCCCCCTTTATTTTTGTTGTTGCAAAGATAGACGTAATATGGGCATTGAAAATTGAGGCTTACCTTTTTTGTTGATTACCCCCCATTCAATTTATTAGCTCACTTGAGCCGAAGGCTAAAATGAGTTTTCTGATCAAAATTTGTCCGTTGTCTGTCATCATTGTTAACTTTTCACATTTCCATCTTCTCAACAAGAACCACTGGGCCAATTTCAACCAAACTTTGCACAAAGTGTTCCTGGGTGAAGGGAATTAAAGTTTGTTCAATGAAAGGCCATGCCCTTATTCAAGGGGAGATAATTCAGAAATAGTAAATTTTATAAATCTTCCTCTCAAGAACCACTGTGCCAGGAAAGATGAAACTTATAGGGAAGCATCCTCAGGTAGTGTAGATTTAAGTTTGTTCAAATCATGAACCCCCTCTCCCCCCCGGAGGTAGGGTAGGGCCATAATGGACGATCAAAGTTTTACATAGAAATATACTGTATACAGGGAAATTTTCGCCCCTTTTGCCCTCGTTGGAAGTGGGCAAATTTAAAACAGGCGCATTCAAAGTAAACAGTATTATATCTTAAACAAAAATCTTTCTGGGCGAATTTAAAACGGGGCAAACTTGTTTCCAAATACGAAAGTACGAAAATAACACGGGGCGAATATAACCCTGTATACAGTATAGGGAAATTCTTTAAAAATCTTCTTCTCAAGAATAGCCAAGGCATGAAAGATGAAACATTATAGGGAAGCATCCTTAGGTATTGTAGATTCAGGTTACTCAATTCATGACCCCCAGGGGAAGAGCAGGGGCACAATGGCAGATCAAAGTTTTACATAAAAATATACAGGGAAATTCTTTTAAAATCTTCTCAAAAATAGCAAAGATATGAATGTCAGAATGATCATATTTATATGGAAGCATCCTCAGGTAGTGTAGATTCAAGTTTGTTCAAATCATACCCTTTTCCCTTTAAGGATTGTTTGGGACCACTTTTGGGTTAACTTTAAACTTTTCAATAATAAACTGATATCTGCTTTTTTCCAATCTTCAGTGTTCAGGTGAGTGATGTGGCCCATGGCCTCTTTATTTGGATGCCTTTGCAGTTTGATCAAATGAAAGGCTGTGCCCCATTTAAAGGGGAAAATGAATATAAAAAAGGACGGGTATCTTAAAAAATTCCCAAGAACCACTGATCAGGGTAAGAAAACAAATGACAGTTTCCTGAGGTAGTCAATAGTGGGAATTCAAGTTTGATAAATTTCACTAAAATTTGTAGCCCCCTTGAGTAGGATGGAGCTGTTGACATTATTATAATGAACATTGATCCCTCTATCAAAATTGTAAATTCCATTGAAGTAAATGAAAAGGGATTTTGTAAAGAATGCTTAATACACACTACAATGCGTCTTTTAACTATTTGAACAATTTGTTTATGTATTGTAGAAATCTCCCAATGCTCCCCCGCTCAGTCTTGGTTTTTGGAATGGAGGCATAGACTTATGCTACAAAGATGGAGCTATTCCTTTCAACATATTTCCATTTGTAGCCTTAGAGTTTGCCGAGAATGAACAACAGTCTTTCAAAATCATTGTAGCTCCACAGGTATAAATTTGTACAGGGCATGATTCAGTGAAAAGAATTTTTGAACAACATTTATACACACTATGTGAGATATTAGATATTAAATTATCCTAGTTATTTTTCTTTCTTTTATATTCATCTATTTATTGTATTCGTCTGTCCATTTTCAGCAGTACATTAAATCTGTTGGGAAAAAAGATGACAACAACCCAGATGAAATATGTTTCAAGCTTGGTATTGCAAACTCCACATCAGGTATAAATGGCGTATAAATATCTAATCCTATATCAAGAGGATGACATTTAAGTAAAAATCCTTAAAACAATATCGAACTAGTCTTTTACTAGTCAATGAAGAGTAAATGTTTTATCACATTGGTAACTTTTTGATGAAATACCAGTAGATTGATGTTTTAAAACCATGTCTCCTGGATAAACCACAGACTCTAACTCGAAAGTTTATTGAAAAAAAAAATTAGTGAAAAATTGTGTAAAATTATCATAAAGACCCAATAGCCTCTTGCTACAAAATCAACAGAAAATGTTGTTACTGATAAATAACAAAAATATCTCTTTATAACAAAGGCACAGTGATAGGAGCAGTGATAATGGAGGGGTTTTATGTGGTCTTTGATCGACAAAACAAAAGAATTGGGTTTTCCGACACAACATGTCCTGCAGTGGCCCAGATGTATAACAAATCACATGTGTCTGGTCCTCACAAATTTTCAGGTCAGTATGCAAGACTTCATCTCTGGTCAACACTAGATGGTTCTAAACCTAAGTCTAAATTTGTAAAGTGTCTGTCCATTCACAATACTTGGAAAATGTAAAGTTTGGGTATGATTTGAGTAAAAAGCAGAGCTCCAGATAAGGTGCTTATTTGCAGAATTACACATTAAATTTTACCAAATACGCATTGAAAATTTAAAATAGAGCAAACAATTACACATTAGCAATCATAGATACGCATTACACCACGAAAGTACTGCGTACAAGTTGAAGAATACAGGTACGACTTACTTAATTATTCGAATTGAGGTTAACTCTGTTTTTTTTTTTCTCAAAACGAAGTACAGATTTAAAAGCCTTTTAGTGACCAGGAATATTCTAGTAATGAAGACGACGATCTCCATTTCGGGAGGAAGAATCGCAGATTTGGATAAAAATCAATTTCTATGTAGGAAGACTATGCACAAGGCATAACTTTTTTTTTATTATGGGTTCATAGCTAATTTTTCATCTCTCTCAACTTGCCATGTTATCGAAGATTCTTTCAGTTTACTCTTGAAACGATATCTTAAATGAAGGAAAAGTTGTATGTGTCTCTGACCCTGTGGTACAGTGTACCTTGACCTAGTGTATAAACTTCCTTGTCAAAAAAGAATTCTTCCTGATCTTAGCAAAAAGTCTTGTTGGTATTTACAAAATAAATGCAGGAACTGGCCTTTGAAGTTTTTCTCCTCTTCAAAAACTCATACTTCGATTACAAGCTCAAAATAAAGGTCAAAACATTTATTTTATAAACAAAATACTCTTCAATCATTTTGCTGAAAATCAAAATCTGCATTGATTTGAAAATCAGGGAGTAAATACACTTTGGGGTAAAAAATTATCTGGAGCTCTGAAAAGTTATCATCCTGAGGAAAAATTAAATGTCAGTAAATTGTGTTAAAGGACAAGGTACAGTTGAATCTAGCCGGCCCTTATTTGATGTAAAATAAGACCACAGCTAGTTTAAATCTGTGTTATTTGTAGTTAAAAACTTAAATTGATGATTGTTTTAAAACCAGTACTTATTTTAAGTCAAAGCTTACACAAAGGTTACAAAAGGGCGCAGAAGTGTGACATTTACCCGCATTTCCTCAATGCTGTTGGAATTTCATCAAATTTGAAATAATTTTCACTTCGGGAAACAAAAAGCACAATCTTGCCAATCTAAGACTTTATACACAAGATATATCTGATGCTAGTGTATGAAATAAATAATTTGGTAGATGGCAAACTTTGCTCTATATTTAAAAAAAACAAAATGTATAGTAAAATTGATGAAAATTTGCATAAAAATGAGAAATTGGTGTACCGGTATTTTTTTACCTTCATGTGAATCCCATAACTATAAGAACCAATACTCATTTTGTGGCAGGGGTGAAAAGAGGTTTTTATTGATAAACACTTGTATTAATCAGGTTGGGGGGAAACGTAAATTCCGCTATAATAGTGGTATTTCACTATTATAGTGAAATTACGCTATATTTCCAGTCATGGATACCCTCAATTTCACCCGATACCATGCTAGGTGTTTGAACCGCACGTCATGGTGGGTATTACAAGGAACAAAAACTGTCATGCTTGCATGTTTTGAATTTTAATAAATTTTCTATCGTTGCGTTTGAAAATGCGAGCACTCTTTTTTTTAACGGAAGTTGTATTTTTAACATAGCAACCGATGATTGCGGGGATATATAAACCTGTTTGAATCTCACGTATTCCTCATTAATGTGCACAAATTAATGTTTGTTACAATTGTCAACTTAAACTGGAAAGGGTTTATTGAATTAAACAAGAAAAAGATTATTTCTGTCTGCATGGTTACGGGTTGGAGGCTCGTTATGGTAAACGGAAAGACCCATTATTATCGACCGCTGCTGCAGCCGATCTTTTTGTACATGGTTGTTAAATAGTGAACATGGGAAATGAGAAGTTATTTTTGTAAAAGTTCAGTATAATAATTCTTCATTGATAACATGTAGAAAATCATCAGTAAAATTTAAAATATTATTGTTATAATGTTTCGATTTCATTGTCATTTGTCATCAAGTTATTTGATAATTTTTTACTATATACTCGTAACAAGAGTTTACAAAAGGTATTACATATATATATAAAAGGAAATTTGATTTTTCGGTCGAATCATAATGACGTGGTGCAAAAAGTGCATGGTTAATAAAAAATCAAAAACTCTTCAACTCGTAAAAATTGTTTTGAATATGTTTTAGCTGCGAATGCTGCCAACGATACAAGAATAATTTCGTTTCCACATTTTGCACAGTGCCTTGCAGCATAGCCTATTTTGCAGAAAACATAGGAATTATCACGTGCATGATCAAGATCCAGGGTGCACGTGGTTCGGTCATTTTTATTTCAGACTGTCTTCAAAGCAATACAAATATTTTTTTTTTAAATAAGTACGGATTTTAATGCATTTGCTCATCAGATATATATTCATCGATGTAATAAAGTCCATAGGAGTCTGAAGCAAATTGAAAGGGTGGCTAATTGAAAGTGGGGGAGGGGGGGGGGGTTAAACCAACAAAAAAGATAAACCCCAATTTTCAATACAAAGAAAATGTCTATCCTTGCAAAAATGTGGGAGGGGGGGTAAGCTCCCCTAGCACCCTCTGGTTCTGACGCCTATGAAGTCTTTGATAAAAGAATTGATTGTAAATGAAAATATACGCTTTTCAAGATTCTACTTCAGCTTTGAATATCTTGCACTTCCATTGCATGGATATGCTTTCAGAATTGTGAAAGTACTTTTTTCAAATGCTAAATTATTTGCGGCTAATTTGATGTTTTACATCAATTCTTAATTGTGGAAAATATAAATTGAGTCGAAGATATTTTAGACACTTCTTATGCTGAGCAGTGTTGATTTGTTATTTGAAGTTTTCTTGTAGTTTAAACAATAATACAATGGCATAAATCTAAAAGTCTGAAAAATTAATACTTTTAGTGTGATTTTTGCTATATACTTTCATTTCATATGAATATAATTAGATATGAATATTTTTTAAATAACAAAAAAAGACATAGCTATTTCTCTCAGATTTTAAAGTTAAATCATTTTTGCCTAAGTGCATAACCATAAAATGTTAAATAAGATACATTTGTGTTAAAAAGATTGTTGAATTATAATTATTTGAACATGTGTTAAAATAAGGTTACAGACACTCTTGTTAAATGTTACCGACACCGAAATAAATTGAGTCTTTTTTTCTGAAATAAACAATTAACCAGCCGATATTGAAAATTAGATATATTTTCTGGGATCGTTTATATGTAATTTTTGGATTATTTATTATGAATTGATTTTGTTAAGAGAAAAGATATCGAGTTTATCAATGCACTCTTTTTTCATGTTTGCTATAATGGGTCTTTCCGTTTACCATAACGGGCCTCCATACCCGTAACCATGCAGACAGAAATTATTTTTTTTTCTTGTTTAATTCAATAAACCCTTTCCAGTTTAAGTTGACAATTGTAACAAACATTAATTTGTGCACATTAATGAGCAAAAAGTGAGATTCAAACAGGCTTATATATCCTCGCAATCATCGGTTGCTATGTTAAAAATGCAACTTCCGTTAAAAAAAGAGTGCTCGCATTTTCAAACGCAACGGTAGAAAATTTATTAAAATTCAAAACATGCAAGCATGACAGTTTTTGTTCATCGTAATACCCACCATGACGTACGGTTCAAACGCCTTGCATGGTTTCGGGTGAAATTGAGGATATCCATGACTGGAAATACAGCGTAATTTCACTATAATAGTGAAATACCACTATTATAGCGGAATTTACGTTTCCCCCAACCTGTTAATCTAATCAACACACCAAAACAGGAGCCAAAGGGGGTCTTAGCCTATTTTGTTGTTTAAGGTTTTAAGGCGTACACATGTTAATTAATGTTTTTAAATATTGGTGCTGACCAAGAAATTTGCTAAGTAAGCATTCAAAGAAGTATCAGGAGGCTACACTGATCAATTTTAATCAGAGCTATGTCTTATATGAAGTTTTTCAGTCACATGAAAAACATTTCCTACATTATGTAAAAGAACTTTATTCGTTAATAACCAATATTTGCCCCCCAAAATCAAACTTTGACGGAGAAATATTTAATTTTGTTCTTTAACAGGGCAATATATGCCGACTTCAAAACACTGAATATTTTCATTAGCAATGACGTCATATGTTTGAAATGACATCATGAAAATGACTTAAATTTAAAATTTCAATGATTTGTACAGAAAAATGTATATTTTAGGCAAAAAAAAAAAATTAATCAATAGTTTCTCAGGCACCGCCGCATCAGTTCAAAAACGGCCGCATTGATCAATTTTATTGACATATTGAAAAGGGAAATAACTCAATTTTCTATTTTTCCAAGTTGAAAAAGAAAATAGAGTTATTCCCCTTTTCATAAATGCTAAGAAAGACGTTCTAATTAGAAAAACAATATATTTCTTTTAAATCCAAAATATTTTATCAGTTAACTTTTAAATAAATGTTTGGAATAACATTATTTAATAATGAATACATATTATAACTAATTTCAGAGAACAAAACTGAAGAATTATTAGATATACCGGTATATATATAAAATTCAGCACATATCAAGAATTTTTCAAAATTTGACTTTTGTGGGGGCAAAGATATGCAATATACCGCATATAGTTCTTTGTTCTGTCAAAGCTGAGCTATCATGATCACATACAAAAGCCACCCTTTTGTTGATCCTTTAGTCTGTTAGCAGGGTTTGCTCTGACTGGACAGTGTTCTAGGCCATCTTATCCAGTGTGCAGTGTTTTAGATAAAATACTGGTTTTACATAATATAACATTCTTTTTGTATATAGATGGGGCTATTCTTATTCCAGGTTCGGTTGAAAACTGTGCCTATGCCAAACCAGAGAAATCCAACCAAACCCTGGTCACCGTGGCGTACGTATTAGCGGGGATCTGTGGAGCCTGTATTCTGCCTTTGTTTATTCTCTTTATTCAGTATCAATGGCGGAGTCAAAGTGTTACGACAAAATGAAGAGACAGAATTCTGATGGAGATTCTAATGATTTAATTGATGAACCAAACATTATGCACGATTCTTAATTAGATGATTTTGTCATGATAGCTTCTTCTAGTGATGGGGGTTAAATTTGTCTGTGGTAGAAAATAACTAGATATTCTTTTTACAGGTGAATAATTATTTTTAGAATTGTAGTGGGAAGTGTTTTGCTTAATTTTATTTAAAAAGTTACTACAATATTCTGTATTAATCATGTGTATATCCATGCCATCTTCAAGGTATGTATAGAAATTTAGATCCTATTTGTAGATGTCTGATGCTATAATAAAAAAAAATTCATGTAGGCTAACGCACAAGGCATAATATGGCTGTTTTGTTCATATACTATTAGTTTGACTAAATATATTTCAATGGGGCACTAACAATTTATTATATTCATTTTTTTGTATGTGGAACAGAAATGTTTGAATACGTAATGCCTGATTTTAAAGATTATTGTTTGATTTTAGTAACTCTATAATCTTTACTAAGACTTACTTAGTTTTGATACAAAATAAATTTGTTCAATCTGGTGAAAGATTCATATTAACAATGGTTGTATATGCTCTGAATCATGAAAAGTTGTAATAAATGAATATTTAATGTCGACTCATCTACTTGATTTCCCTGTTAACTCTATTATAAATGAAGTTTACAAACTGTTACCCAGTATATCTACTAGCCATGTTAAAAAGTTTTTAATGGTTTGTTTATCTATCAAGACATTTTATGTTGTTTTTTTTTTATATTTGATTTCAGATTAAACTGCTGATGTCATTGTTATTATGTTTATGTGCATGCATCCATATTTGTCATCAAACATTTTTATTCTCTTTATTGTTAAAAATGTAGAGCATATTTATGGAAGTTAATTATTTTTTTATAGGCAGCTACAGATACTAAGCATTGTTTGTGTATGAGTAAAGCAGGACATTGTTTGGGGCTCAAAGGATTTAGAATTAGAGTGGTGTAAACTGGTACTGTAGCCGAGCTAAAACATATAATGCATTATGAAGCAAAGAGGAGTTTCCAAACTCTGCTCTTTGATATATATTGTTCCAAATTATTTTTAATACTCGGTGTACATCTGCTAAATACTGAAATATTTTTCATTGTGATATTTTAGTATTGGTTTATTTCTATATTATAAGGATTTGTTAGATAACAGATAGAGGGGCATATTATGGAGAATTTTAAATGGATAATATGACTGTATAATTGGTGTTGCTTCATCAATGGATGTGTTGCTTCATCAATGGATTACATAATTACTTGCAAAAAATGTCACACATGTTCATTATACTATTTGATATTATATATTTTATTATTTGTATGCCATAAACATAATTTGTCTCATTTGAATTCTAAATGACTCTAGATTGTTTTGGTGTAATTTTTTTAACTTGTAGATTTCTTTCTACTGACTAAAGTTAAATAAATTGCTACTCCATCAACAGCATTTTGATTTTTGTGTTGTGTAAAAGTTGCTAAATTTAAAAATGCAATTGATACTTTCAATGAGTGTATAATTGCATCGCAAGACAACTTGATGAAATGAAATGTGAAGATTACGAACAGTGAAAAAATCCATTTAAACAATACAAGTTATGAGCAGTGCCTACACATACAAATGAAAACATAGATAGGTTCAGGTGAGATGGAGGAGTAAGCATCCCCTGTCAATTGGTTACCGTTTATATGTGCTCCATATTATGATTGGGCAAACAAAACAACTCTGTAGACAATATTAACTGTTCAAAGCGACAGACCTTCTGCAAAACGTATACCCTTTCAGTCAAATTTCATATGTTATGTAAATAATTTAAAATACGGTATAATTAAAATTGATCAAGACTAATTTTTATTATAAAAGTTAATATTTCTAATCAAAAACTCAAAAAATTACTGTACTGCTCTCAATATTATGGCTAGAAAGAATATTGTTAAACATTTTTTATCTATTTTAACAATTTAAGTTTTCCCTTTTCTTATGAACTCATGCTATTTGATATTAAAAACGATGTTAATGTTTATTACAATTAATGTTTATTATATCCATCCATCTTCAAAAGTTATTGTTTTTATTTTAAAAATGATATGAATTTGTACTTGTTGATTTCCGTAAAATTTCCCAGGTATATATAGAAAACCACAGATCTAAGGTTTCCTGTGAATGTGAATGCATCAGTAATCAAACACATCAAAACCTATGACAGTATGTCTAGGTAATATATCATACGTGGAAAGAAAATTTAAACTAAAAGGACAACAGACATACATCAATATCATTTATATGTCAGATTGAGTTACAATCATAGCAACTTCTAAACATATCATATGAAAATCATGGCACCATTCTGATTAAATTACAATGTACTGCATATAATGAAATGTCTTAAACTGATGAATATTGATAATAAAATAAATATTCATTATACTGTCAAGTGAGTGTTCCTTCATAGATCATTAGTTTTCTGTAATTATTGACTTGAGTAAGATTTTTCTTCTTTGCATAAAATATGTGTGAAAATTTTGTTCAAATTTATAGAACAGTGAAATTCATCAATAACAAGGTAGTATTAATCTGATCCATTGATCATGATGACAGAAAAAGTTGTTTCTGGATAATGTGAGTACAGATGATTACCATTGTCTACTTGTATCCAGACTCTGTCCCCCACCTGTAACTGGTGGACAACAAGGTTTGAGGCTGACTGGTGGATATACATAATAGATCCATTAACATGAGCCATGACTCCAGCCTTAACTGATCCATTAATCATTATTACTGTACTGAAGGGTCCATGATAATCTGCCACGTTAGTACAGAATATAAGATAGAGCCCAGCCTTTGGGGCGGTAAACACCCCTGTTGTAGGGTTGTATCCCCCTCCCACCTGGTAAATGACTGTTGGGAATTTAACTGTTTGTCCACCAGAAAACACATGACCATCACCAGATCCAATTCCGGCTGTGAAAGCTACATTGTATTGAACACCTAAAAAATACAACAGAATATAAAATGCAGTTCCAATTTTAATATTGAAATAACATAACAGAAAATGCTGTGTATACTTTATGCAGTTATAGGTACATGTACCTACAAAGTTTATTGGCGGATGTTGCAGATAAAAATATCATTTATTAATGGCATTGCAATTATTATGCCTTCCTTCGAAGAAGGAAGAGCATATTGCTTTGCTGCTGTCTGTCGGTTCACTTAGTTTCCGTTCATTTTCTTCACAACTGTTGTACATACTGAAATGAAATTTGGTATAGATATATCACATGAATATCTAGGTCAAGATCTGTTATGGGTACGATCGCACCATTTTTGACAGAGTTATGCCCCTTGGACTTAGAAAAATTCCAATTACTTTGCAACCGTTGTACATACTGAAATGAAATATCAGATGAATATCTAGATCAAGTTCTGTATTGGGTACGATCGCACCATTTTTGACAGAGGTACATGTATGCCCCTTGGACTTGGAAAAATTCCAATTAGAGGGGAGGGGGGCATAAGTGTTTTACAAACATCTCTTGTTTTGTGTTGTTTTATTTTTAAGTTTATTTTTATACATGTACTCATGCAAAAGTGTAAAATCTATCTTTTATGCAGAAACATGTAAATGTACGTACACATTAATTAATTTATGGTGACATTAATGTTTAAAACGATTGAGAACTATCATTTTATGCACAGAGACTTTAAAGTAAAATGGCCTGTCCAAATGCAGGGCATAATTGTCCTGTTTTGAAGCAGGGTCCTGTAGCCTTTCAACTGGGCATTTAAAGAAAAAAGTGGCTAAATATCTACTGCACTTAAGCTATGAGAGTTGGATCCCGATGTTTTGCGCAAAATAAAATTCCAAAATTCATTAAATTTATGTTTAATATCTATTAAACAATATCTTAAGAGCAGGTTTTGGTATATTATATTACATGAAAGTATTAAATAATGCCAAGCGACACTAGCTATTGAAACTATGGTCTAACAGTTTTGTTTCATTTTAATTCTTATTCATATGCATACCAGTTTTCAACGACATTGTTTACATCGAGCCGCAACTTGGCCATTTTTCTCATTTGCACAGAATTTGTATTTTAACTAAAACGAGTGTCAGCCCATGTGACCCTTTTGATAATATAATCACTTTTCTCACGTGACATTCAAGTGTTCGACACGCTTTCATTGTGTCATTCGTTGGAAAATTCGTTTTATATCTACATGTACTTCCATCTTCAACAATATTGAAGATCCTTGCGTACATTTTATCAGTGTTTTACATTTTACGTTGAATTCTTTTACTATAGTGTTTTTGTTTGGGATACTTTAAAGGAAAAAGGTATTATTTTGCTGATTACATGCAGTACATTTAGCAGTGGCGGATCCAGAAATTTTGTAAACGGGAGTCCATCCAGTTTTAGGTCAGGGTAGGAGTCCACAGTCATACCAAAAAAAAAAACTAAACTTTTTATTTTATTTTTACCTTACTAATAAGTCCACAATTTTTATTCAAGATGATTAAGATAAAGTGAAAATGTCTTTTTTTTTTAAATACACTGTAGGTACGAACACATAATATTAATTATTTTAAGATTTAGTTAATTCGCTGCTTGACAGCAAATAATACATGAACAGTGAGATTTTAAGCATTCTCATTTTAAAAGAACGTTAGATAGAGAATATTATGCAGTGCTTGATAATGTAGAAGCCGAAATTCATTTTTTAATGCATTGTCCTTTGTAAACTGAATACCGATCAAAACTTTTTTTGAAAATTAACTCTGCCAATAATCAAATGGCATGGTCATATATGGATTTACTGTGTGTACACATTTCAGCTTATCCTATAGACAGGTTGTAAATTATTTTTCATTTTTGCGAAGACAGTTCATTATGTTCAGAAAATAAAAATGTATTTCAGTGGCATTTTCATCTAACAATAATTCTTAAAACAGACACTACCAACCTATGCGTACAAAATGCATACATATATCTATCACAATTGTGTTTATTTTTATGAATTTTTTGTATTTTCTCTTGATGTTCTGCTCTTTACTTACTTACTTTATCTACCTACGTGGATACAAATTAATGAAATTATATGCAAGGTTATAAATCATTTATTTTTTGTACACAATGAACAAAAAACCCTCCCCTCTGCCTTTTTTATATATAATGTAAATCAAATACGGAAAAACCATGTGCTTATGATCCATTTCCATGCGATTTAAATGTCTCCGCCCCTTTGCTGCGACCTTAAAATCGAAAGCGGTCCAGTTCAATTTTCCGGAATTTATGGCTTAAACATGTTCTTTTCAATAGCGTTGTATGTAATTATTGAAATATGTATGACGAAAAGTCTAGTAATAGATATCAGAAGCATATGCTTGCACATTGATCATAGATTAATTTAGCGATATATTGTAATGTTAAGCTTAAAATGGGTAACCGAAAAGGTTCCAAATAACGTCCTTAAGTGCAGTCATTCTTTATGAAATACATTGTTTGATGTTGAGCTAGATTGTCGACTTATTCCATATTTAGATCTAAGAATTCAAATTGCTTTTTAACTTAATTTTTAGTAGGAAAAAATCAGTCTTTTGAATGAGACAGGGTCCATTTGATTTGCCTGGATTCAGTGGGTATTATGCCCCTATGCTCATTTTAATCTTTAATGCTGTTCAAAGCAGAAAGGTTATGTATTCATTTTAAAAACATAAACTCCTTATGAGAGTGCACATATGTCGTTTTTCTAAACAGGCTATGTGATATTGCAATGTTCTTAAATTTTAAAAGTCTTGGAAAACTATAAAATGTGGAAGTGCTTACCTTAAAGAATCAAAATTCCCTTAACCCCCCCCCCCCCCCCCAAAAAAAAATTAAAAATGTTATCTGTACCTTAGTAACAGTTCAACAGTTTTAGCATTACATGTTAAAAGTCTGTATATCCTCTTTTCAAAGTATTTTTTAAAAAAACATACAAAAACTGGCTTTGCAAAAAGAAATTTTGGATATGTGAATGATTTATTTTTCAGAATTTCATATAGTCAAATAAGGCTACTAGTGAAACTTTCTATTATAAGATTAGTTATAACTCCAGTGAAACACCAGGCTTATAACAGACACATTTATAATGAATAGACACTTACAGCAAAGTGATTTTTTTTTATCCCTTTGACTTAAGATACTATGTATATTGTAAACTTAATGGATATGATGAATTACGCTTATAACAAACCAAAGCATCTATCCCTGAAACTTTGTTTTAAGCAAGTTTCATTGTATTTCTTCTTTTTGAGCAGAAGAGAAGAAAGAGTGAAGAGTATACATACGATTTTTAAGATGAATAATGGTATTATTAAGTTTGGTAATGTCGTTTTGTTGGGAATTTGTCAGCATTTGGATCTCACTCTTTATTTGGTTTTGCCGTGCATCCAATTTAGAAAGAGAAGACGATAATCCAGCTGTTTGATTGTGTACATCCAACAGAGAAAGTGATAAGTATCGGTCTCTGAGTTCCAGGTCTGTGACTGTGGCGGATATAATCTTCATTATTTCCTGTTCACTGACTCTGACAGTCTGCTCAATTTCAAATGTTAGGATGTTCTCCAGCCTTCTTAAGTCTTCTGATGTTGTTAAATTTTTTTGCATAAGCATGGAAGTAGAGTTCAGAATCTGAATCTGATCTTTCAAAACTATGTTTTCTTGAAGCAAAAATGTTGATGTTGAGTTCAGATCATTCAGTTTTTCATTCAAACAGACATCATGTGCTGATGAAGTGGATGAAGAATTCAAGTTGTCTAGTCTTTCTTTCAAGATTTTGTTTTCACTTTGCACTTGTAGAAGTGAGTCCTCTAGGCTTGTTATCTTTATTTGGGCTGTCCGATTCCATTGCTTCAGCATCTGTATCTCTCCATTTAATTGCTGAATTTGTTGAGCTTGTTGTTTCTGATCCTGCAATATTGAAATTAAAACTGTCTCCAGATTTAAAAGTTTTTTGTTCACATCGGGATCAGAATGTCCATTAGATGCCAAGGAAGCATTGGTTTGTCCATGGAACAACAAACACTCTGCTTTCAAAGATGTGCATAGCAGGACCAAAAAGGTTCCTCTAATCCAGTGCATTTTGGTGATTTATGGTAAAACTCAAACAGACAGGATATTAAGGGTGGCGTGGCTTTATCATAAAACAAAATGTTATCATCTGATAAAAAAGAAATCAGCTAGATGATCAGTGTTATCTTTAACCTGTATATTTAGATAACTGGTCTTTATTCATACATTGCAAATAGCAATTAACGGTTTATTTTGAAAAAGGAAAAGCACCAATACCAAATTTATGTTCCCTGAAAAAAAAATTACATTAAGACTGACCCATTAAGCCGAAAGCACAAGTAACTCTGATGGAAAATTGACCATTGACTAATGTTGTCCTAAACTTTTTACACTTCCCCACCCCCCCATCTTTGGCACCACTGGGCTATGGCACTTTCAATAAAACTTATATCTTTACTATGTGAATTGGCTTTTAGCATTAAGGAGTTGGAACTCAAAGGCCTAACCTCCATCCCCCCTTTTTTTTGCAAAGATAGATATAATATTGGCATTGAAAATTAATGCTTACCTTTTTTGTTGGTTTAGTCCCCTTTCAATTTACTTCTGATGCATATGTTAAGTTTGATCAAATGAAAGGTTGTTCCCCATTTAAAGGGGGGAAATGAATATAGAAAGGGTGGTATCTTAAAAATTTCCCAAGAACCCCTGGTCAGGATAAGAAAACAAATGAAAGTTTTATGACACAGTTATTATTTGAATTTTGTTTATATATTGCAGAAATCACCCAATGCTCCACCATTGAGTCTTGGTTTTTGGAATGGTGACATAGATTTGTGCTACAAAGATGGAGCCATTCCTTACAACATATTTCCATTTGTAGCCTTAGAGTTTGCTGAGAATGATCAACAGTCTTTCAAAATCATTGTAGCTCCACAGGTATAAATTTGTACAAAGTATGATTTAGTGAAAAGAATTTTTTACAACATTGTACAGACTATAAGAGAAATAAGTTGCTAAAGTATCCTAGGTATTTTTCTTTCTTTTATTCATCTAATTTTGTTCTTTTGTTCATTTTCAGCAATACATTAAATCTGTTGGTAAAAAAGATGACAACAACCCAGATGAAATATGTTTCAAGCTTGGTATTGCAAACTCCACATCAGGTATAACGTGGCATAAAAAATACAAATATAAGATACATGGAATGATTTATTTTCTATGCATGATTGAATTCAGCAACCATATCTAAGAGGATGACATTTGAGTAAAAATCCTTGCTTAAAACAGTACCGAAACAGCCTTTTATTCGTCAATGAAGAGGAAATGCTTTATCACATTGATAAGTTTTTGATGAAATACAAGTAAATTGTTTTTAAAAAAAAAACCATGGCTCCTGGATTGACCACAGACTCTAACTCAGTTTATTGGGGAAAAAAAAATAAATGTAAAATGACCATTAAGACCCAATAACCTCTTGCTAAAAAATCAAAACAAAATGTTATAACTGATAAATAACAAAAATATCTCTTATAAAACAGGCACAGTGATTGGAGCCGTGATAATGGAGGGGTTTTACGTGATTTTTGATCGACAGAACAACAGAATTGGGTTTTCAGATACAACATGTCCTGCAGTGGCCCAGATGTACAACAAGTCACATGTGTCTGGGCCTCACAAATTTTCAGGTCAGTATACAAGACTTCATCTCTGGTCAACACTATGGTTCTAGACCTTATTTGTAAACTTAAGTGTCTGTCCATTCACAGTTCTTGGAAAAATGTATAGTTTGGGTATGATATGAATAAAAAGTTATCAGACTGAGGAAAAAAATGTCAGTGAGTTGTTAAAGGACAAGATAAATCTTTTAAGAAGTTAAAAATTGATGATTGTTTTAAATCCAGTACTAATTTTGATTCAAAGCTTACACGGAGGTCACAAAAGGGCGCAGAAGTGTGACATTTAGCCAACATTTCCTCAATGCTGTTGGAATTTCATCAAATTTGAAATAATTTTCACTTGGGGAAACATAAAGCACAAGCTTGCCAATCTGAGAGTCTATACACAAGATACATCTGATGCTAGTGTATGAAATATATAAATTTGGTAGATAGGCAAAGTTTGCTTTATATTTTCAAAAAACAAAATGTGCAGTAAAATTGATGAAAATTTGCAAAGAAATGAGAAATTGATACATTTTTTTACCTTCCTGTGAATCCCACAGCTAAGAATCAATACTCATTTTGTGGCAGGGGTGAAAACAGGTTTTCATTGATAAACTTTTGTATTATTCTTATCATCACACAAAATTAGGAGCCAAAAAAGGGTCTAAGCCTATTTTGTTGTTTAAGGTTTAAAAGCGTGCGCATAATTGATGCTGACCAAGAATTTTGCCAAAGTTAGATATATCAATCAAAGAAGTATCAGGAGGCTACACTGATCTATTTTTATCAGAGCTGTCTTATATGAAGTTTCTCGGTCACATGTAAAATATTTCCTACATTATGTAAAATTTGTTCTGTCATAACAGTACTGAGCTATCATGATCACATATACAAAAGCCATCATTTTGTTGATCCTTTAGTATGTTAGCAGGGTTAGCTCTGACTGGACAGTGTTCTAGGCCTTCTTACCCAGTGTGTAGTGTTTTAGATAAAATTCTGGTTTTACATAATATACTGACACCCAAAAGAAACGCAACACCCTACTTTTGGGGGAAATAATTATGTAAAGTAAAGAATTTTGTATCAGGCCAAAATAAAAAATACCTTTGTTTCCCCTAACGCGACCGACCCAATGAAATCCCGCCGACTGAAAAGATTTTTTAAATAGGATGATTCCTAATTTTTTTTTATTGTCAACCAAGTTTTATAAAATACAGTTTCATCAAAATCAGTTTTAAACAGAACGGCAAAATAGTTCTACTGTGATTTTCAAGCATTTGGAAATAAAATGGCGCCCAGAAGCGCGCGATTAATTAAAAGAATTAGTTCTTCATAAAACAACGGCGACGTTTCAATCTTATGCCTTTAGCTAACTAGAATTCTTCACTCTTAAAACAGTTTGAAAATAAAATTTACAATGACTAATTCAGAGCATTTCAGAGGTGTCTTGGCGTCTCCATGTGAGTAAATAAATTTTCGAAAGGGACGGTAAACAACGACCAAACAAATCTGTTTGTTGAATACATGGAAAGGCCAGCCTCATGAGCAGATGAGGGGTCCACCTAGTGAACACATCATTCAATTTCACTGCATTTTATTTAATTTGAGTTTTGATCTAATTACCAATTCATCTATATGTTCCTATGTTTACTATATGCCATTATGGAATCATAGGAGTTATTGTAAATATGTCTGCATATTCATCCTGATAAATATATTTCAGATGTCCTTTTTATGCCTTTATTTACGGGTTAAACTTTGTGACTATGACATTGTTTATAGCATGGTTCGGTTTGGTTCATTTAAATATTTTTTACATACTCTTTCCAAATAGTTTGGACTTTCCATTAAATTTTAGAATGTATTTTCAAAGCTGCTATCAGAAAATAAAATTGTTTACCTACCGACCGACCCAACTTGAGAATTTAGGATCGGGTTAGGGGAAACAAAGATATTTTTAATTCCGGCCTCATAAGATTATGAATATCTTCAATTTGGTAAACATCGGTAATTTAAAGGTTGAACAATTTCCATACCATAACAGGAAGTCAAGTTTGAGTTTGCTTAACAGAAATAAAAAATTGCATGTTTAACAAAACATTTGGCAATATTATGGAGTTTTAAGGGTTTTTTACTGTTCATCATAAGTAATGCAGCAATATTTCAAAAAATAAACACTCCTTTCGTTTTCCGTAACAATGCTAAGGCTACTTGAAATTGGCTTATGTACGCATTTCCATTGCTCTAGCTGGAAAATTTCAATGTAAAGGTGATGGAGAGTTGCTGATGTAAAATTTCACTATATTACGCCTCAACAGGGTCTTACGTATCATATGCATTAAGGACAGTCCTTGTACCTGAAGTCTAAGGACGGCTACACTGCTCTTAGTTAGAGAAAATTCGACCTAATCATCTGAAAAACGGGCATTTAAAAATGCCAAAGAATAATTCCTACGCTCAGATCTTGATTTTAACATTTTTATCAAATCTTTGATGTTCTGAAAAGTGAGTTAAGCCTTACTTTATTCGCTTTTGAAAATCATAAAATTAAAAAAAAAATTGTAGATTACTGCTTGTTGCGTTTCTTTTGCGTGTCAGTATATAACATTCTTTTTGTATATAAATGTTGCTACTCTTATTCCAGGTTCAATTGAAAACTGTGCCTATGCCAAACCAGAGAAGTCCAACCAAACCCTGGTGATTGTGGCGTACGTATTAGCGGGGATCTGTGGAGCCTGTATTCTGCCTTTGTTTATTCTCTTTATTCAGTATCAATGGCGGACATCAAAGTGTTACGAGAAAATGAAGAGACAGAATTCTGATGGAGACTCCAATGACTTAATTGACGAACCAAACTTTATGCATGATTCTTAGATGATTTTTGATGTGGTAGTGTCTACTAGTGATCGGGGTTAAATTTATCTATGGTAGATTATTACTAGATATTCTTTGACTGTTGAATAATTACTTTCAGAATTCTAGTGGGAAGTGTTTACTTTAATTTTAGTTAAAAGTTATTATTATTCTCTGTGTTAATCATGAGTATGTCCATGCCATCTTTAAGGTCTGTATAGAAATTCGTAGTTCTTTATTCCGTGGGACGTACATCCCATAAGCATCATAAGTACAACATTGTATTTATCAATTACATACATAGTACAATAACATGTTATAAACTTACCAGCTAGTAATACATACATTTCATTATATAGTTAATTGATTTAAACATTCCATTCGTAATTTATTAGCATGATATATATATTTCCCTAACTGATTTACATCTTTGGTATTTGTACTACAGAATAATTGTATTAACTTGAAGACACTTGGTCTTCGGGAGTAGTAATGTTTGATGAACTTGTTTCTTAAATCTTGAAAAACTGGACAAATGAATAAAAAATGAAATTCGTCTTCAATATCATTTAAATTACACAGAACACATTTCCTATCACTCCTTATTAAGTTCTCGTATCTTCCAGTTTCAATCTTTAAATTATGTGCTGAAAGTCTGAGACATGAAATTGCTTTTCTATATTTTACATGGATAGGTTTCTTTAAATAACCTTGTAAACAAAAATAATCAACTAAATGCTTATATAACATACATTTTGGTGACTTACATTTATCAGATATAGCCTTCTGTTTAAAAACGTCACACATTCTATTGTATGTTATGTCTAATAAAATGCTATCTTTTTGATTACTATGGAACAAGTCAGCTAAACCTAGAGTGTACATTTCATTTTTTATACTCGTAACCCAGGGATCTTTATTCTCTACCATATCTTGATAACATGCACTCAAAATACAATTATTACTTTTTCTTAATTTTAACCAATATTTTAATATTCTGCGCTTTCTGTATATATCTAGTGGTATTCTACCTAACTCATAATAAACAGCACTATTACAGGTATTTTTTCTTACACCAAGTATTCTTTTACAAAAATTAATATGTACTCTTTCAACATCTGGACCTTTGTGAAAACCCCAAATTTCAGCTCCATAGCATAACACACTTTTAACATAGGTATCAAAAACATTGATCTGAGTCTCAACATTGAAATTTAAATCTTTCATCTTACTATCAATACTAAACAATGCCTTGTTACCTTGTGTTGCACAGTGCTTCTGTGTAGATAAGAATTTACCATTATAGTTAAATAATAATCCTAAATAATTAAATTGATTTACAACTTCAGATCTTCATATTTGTAGATACTTGACACTGTAATCAAAATTTCAATTCATGTAGGCTATTGTATAAGGCATAATATGGTTGTTTAATTTAAAAAAAATATAGTTTGACTAGATATATTTTATTGGAGCACTTTTTAAGATTTATTATATCCATGTTGATGTCTGTGGAACTGGTATGTTTGAATATGTAATGCCTGGTGTTAAAAATTACTGCTTAATAATATATACTAAAAGATTGTCTTTACTAAGATTTGACGTAGATTTGATTATAAAATAATTTTGTTCAATTTGTTGAAAGTAGGTTGCATTTCACATTTAATTTAACAATGGTTGTATATTCATGTGCTCTGAATCATGAAAAACTATTATTAATCAACAGGTGTTGAATGTTGACACATCTTAATTTTCCAGGGCATATGTGTTGTATAAGAATTTATATTTATAGATTTCCCTGTTGATTCTATAAATGAAGGTCTACAATTCCTACCTGGAAACTGTTGCCTGATATTTAGAAAATTAACTATATATCTACTGGCCATGTTAATTAAGTAGTTCTTTAAGATTTAGTCATCTAATAGGAAATTTTATGTTATTTGATTTCAGATGAAACTGCTGATGTCATTGTTATCAGACATGTGCCTGCATCCATATTTGTCATTACATGTTTTCGTTTTCTTGTTCGTTATTGATAGAGTAGATTTATGGAAGTAAAATTGTTTTTATAGGCAGCTACAGATATGTGTTAAAGCTATGGGTTATACTCATAGGAATGAAACAGAAAATTTTCTGGGGCCCAGAGGATTTAGAACTGGAGTTTTTTTTTATGTGGTATTATGGCAAAGTAAAAAATCTAGTACATTATGAAGCAATAGAAAGTGTCAAAAGAGTGTTTTAAAATTCCTTTAGAAATTCTTTTCATTTTATTTCCAATACTCAGTGTACATGTACATCTGCTAAATACTGAAACATTATCATTGTGATATTTTACTGTGTTGGTTTATTTCAAGCTTCTGAGAATTTAATAGCTAATAGAGGGAATGTATTATGGGGAATTTTCAGTAGATTTTAAATGTTATTTATATGTGTAGCTACTGTAATTAGTTGATAAATGGGTTGCATTACCTTAAGAATTTAAATTTGTCTCTTATGTTCATTATATTAATTGACATATTATATTCTCTATTATTTGTATGTCATTTACATATATCTCATTTACATTCTTCATGGCTTCAGATTTTTAAAAAATAATTATGAAACTATTTTTTCATATGACATATGTTAAATAAACTGCTACTCCGTCAACCACATTTTAAAATTTTTGACTTGTCTATAAGTTATAGCTTATATGATGTAAATTTAAAAGAGTATATAAAATATGCAATTCGTGGTGCAATATATGATGTAGCAGTCGGCTTATTGATGAATGAAATGACAAGTCAACAAATAGAAGTCATTGTCAAAAGTCCATATATGAGCAGAGCCAACAAAGTCCTCTGTAAGCAGAGGTTTGATCAGTTGCTATAGAGGAGTAAGCGTTCTCTGTCGACCGGGCACACCAATCTATAATTGTTTAAACAAAAAATCCTGAGACAAATATTACTATTTAAGGTTTCTTTTTTCACCAATATATTAAAATATTGCTTTATATTTCTAGTAAATCTTTTATTATAGGTAGAAATACGGAACCTATCTCTAAATGAATTGAAGATAGATATTATTAAAATAAACCTGTAATCAATACATTTAGAAATATGTCTGTTGATTTGAAAATAGGCTTTATAAAATTAATTTCTGTTATGTTTCGATCTAAAGTTAATAATTCTAAAATGTACTGGGGTACAATTTCTACATAAAAAATCTTTTCAGTGATTTCTTATAAAGCAAAGTAAAAAAGGGGTTGAGACCTATAAACCGAGGTCCTGTGTCGTAGCAGGTGCTGGCACGAAAAAGATCCCCCTCTGCTCATTGGCCCTAAGTGCCGAGAAGAGGACAAAATTTGCAGCTCAATCGGCAAGTGATTGCGTCTCCATATAAGTGAAAAATTCTCGAGAGGGACGTTAAACAATATACAATCAAACAACGATATAACCGAAACAACGCAAGATTTTGAAAAATAAACTAAAGGGTTAGAAAGAAATCTCAATATTTCAAACAGTTGTGAATTTCTGTTATATGTATTCAGGAACGACGCCAGGTCTTAATTCGGTTTGTATAATCTTTGCCTCTGTTCTGTCCTGTTCTAAATGGTACTTTTTTCTACCCAGTGAATTCACAATTTAGAACATGACATAAAAATATCTTTAAAAGCGAAACTTATGGAATTTCAATTGAAATTAGAGATACCCATATACTTGTATATTATGGTACATGTTTATATTTGTCTCTAGTTGTAGTGATCATAAAATACTTTTAATGCTTCTTTTACGTGGTATCAAGACACTTGGGTTAAAATTTTAGGATAGGGGAAGTGTTCTGATTTTGGATTTTAGGACCCTATGATGATGGACCCTGTCTTTCTAAATATTTTGTCATCAGGCCGGAAAATTGTTCAAAATTAAAGTTGACATTTCATAAAAAGCAAATCATTTTTATTTTTGTAGTGCTCACATATATACGTAACTGCATTATAAAGCATTTCTCTATAAGGCTTCCCCATATCCGGCCCAAAAACAACTTTTCGAAGCTTTCCAGCTAATTCAAAGCTATATTTAATATTGAACAAATGTATGATGGAATTAGTTTAATACCAAGTGAAAAATAATTGATTTTAAGTCTCTTAAGTTTCTTATTACAGATTATATAAATTCATCCTTTAAAAAATTGATTTTTGAAGAATCCATACTAAAACTTTCTTGATTGATTTCAGTATAGTTTTCCCCAAACCATTGTTACCTAGAAAGGTGAAAACATCTTTGAACATTCACATCAAAAACTATTTCTATGTATATAAGATCTTAAAGGGCAAAGTTGAAAGGTGTCAACAAAATAACCTTAATTCAAGTCAAATGATTTGCAATTACAGCCACATCTAAACATTTTGATGGATACAGTGATACTATATACATGTACATATACAATCATGATGTAATCATATGAATTAACATTATGTAATATAAGAAGCATCACAGTTAATGGTTTTGAGTAAATGTTTATTCATATTTCATGTTTTATTGTTAATGATTTGAGTTGATTTTTTTCTCTTAAAGTAGTAAGTGTCAAGAAGGTAAAAAATACTTAAATGGCACTGGTAAACTGTAATCATGTTACAGATATTGTGGTAGTTTTAGTCTGATCCATTAATCATGATAGCGGAAAAGGTTGTATCTTCTAAATTTGAGTAAGGACTACTACCATGATACAATTTTGTCCAAACTCGATCTCCCATTTGTAACTGTTGGACAACAAGGTTGGAGGCTGATTGATAGACAGTTACAGATCCAACAAGATAAGCCATGACACATACCTTAGGTGAACCGTTAATAATTATTCGTGTCCAGAAAGCTTCATGGTCATATGCCACAGTAGTACAGAATATAAGGTAGAGTTCGGCCTTGGGGGCGGTAAATATTCCTGTTGTAGGGTTGTATCCTCCTCCCACCTGGTAAATGACAGTTGGGAATTTAACTACTGTCTCCAATTGCATATGTATGGCCAGTTTTCGCAGCAGCTGTAAAAGCTACATTGGATTGGACACCTTGAAATACACAAGCACTGCAAATACATTTTTGTTCAGGTCATAGTAAGGTACATATAAATTGAAATTTTATTTATCAATACAGGGAAAGCTGTAAGTACATTACATGTACTTTTGTACTTTATTACCTTAAGTATATTTTATATATTTTTTTTCCATACATCATTCAGAGATGTGAAATAATGTAGGACCCGCAAATGGTATTTAAATCAATTTCACAGCTGGTTTACTAGAAGAACACAGCAAATGTAAATATTTAAGCATTGAATTCCTATTTTTGGCTGTCTTCGGTCCTATAACACACCTGGCCGTGCCGACAAATTGATAATTTCTCGGCACGGCCAGGTGTGTTATAGGACGGAAGACATCCCAAAATAGGAATTCAATGCTTATATTTACATTCTTTAATTTTCTTGCTTCATAATTATTGATTTCGTTAATTTTTAATGTGAATTTAGCGCCCTTCAAAACTGACCTGGTTAATAGACGTAAGAGCCGTTTGTGACGTCAGATGACGTTGCAAAGTTAAATAACGCAAACAAACATTTCGAGGAAAAAAGTGACAAATTATTTTTAACCTCACATTTGTAGTAATTTTACGTTAATTTAACAGGATGATAGTTTTTGATTAAATTGAGTCAACACATTGTACATTTTGGTGTTTCTAGATTATAGAAAATGCACATAGTTCCTACTGTGTATTCTAACGCGCGGTGTTATAGAGACAAGGTTTCTAATAGATTTAATTAGGCTGTGTGTTATAGAGATTTGTAATTTTCCAATATTGCATATACACATTTGATAATCTAATACTTTATAGATTTAATTAGGAAAATTACACTGAATGTAAATATTGTTTTATGTTTCTTACTTTGTCATGCAATAGTGTATAAATTACTAGTATATTTTCTAACAATATTGCATATACACATTTGATAATCTAATACTTTATAGTTATTATTAAAACCTTAAATTGTTTGAAGCAATTGAACATACGATTCTTGAGATGGATAATTGTATCGTTCAATTATTGTGATTATTATTGTGTTGTTTGGTAATCTCATTTTGCTGGGAATTTGTCAGTGTTTGGATCTCACTCTTCATCCGTTTCTGCTGATCATACACACTAGAAAGAGAAAACTATAGCTCTGCTGTGTAATTGTAAACATCCAACAGAGAAAGTGATAAGTTTTGTACTATCATATTCTGTTGTCATAAGGCTAAAAGCTTAGAGTATCCTTAGATGAATTCATTCAAGTTAGCTGTCAGAACCAGAGGGCCTACCCCTACCTCCCCATTATTTTTTGCGAAGATAGACATAATATAGGCATTAGGTGTGTTTAGCCCCCTTTCAATTTACTTCTTCTGTTGTATTTTACAAATATCCCAGAATCACCAGGGAAAGAAAACTACCTGAGATTGGAAACTGTCTTCATATCTTTTAACTTTTTGAAAAGGTAAACTATATTGAGTTATGATTTGTGTGTTGTCCAAAATTATATTGGCTTTTGGAAAGGATTGTCATGATTGATAAAAAAGGTCTTTGACTGTGGCAGAAATGTTCTTAATCATTCCTTCTCAACATAAATTTTCTTTTGTAGCCTTAGAGTTTACAAGCATGGAAGTAGAGAATCTGATCTTTCAAAAACATTCTCTTTCAAAAATGTTGATGTTGAATTCACTTTGTCCACTCTTTCTTTCAAAATTTTGTTTTCACTTTCTAAGAATGACATCTTTATTTGGGCTGTCTGATTCCATTGCTTCAGAGTTTGAATCTCTCCTTCTAATAACTTTTGCTGTTGTTCAGATTTCTGAAGAAAGCCTGTTGTTTCTGATCCATAATATAGAATCCAACACTTTTTCCAGATAAAATAGTTGTTTGTATACATCAGAATCAGAATGTCCATTAAATGCAGAAGTAACATTAGTTTGTCCATGGAACAACAAACTCTCTGCTTTCAAAAATGTGCACAGAAGTACCATGAAGGTGCTTGTAATCCAGTGCATCTTGGTGATTTGTGGTTAAACTCAAACAGACAGGAAAGTATAGGATGGCGTGGCTTTATCATGAAACAAAATGTTACCATTTGATAAAAAAGAAATCAGCTAGATAATCACTGTTATCTTTAACCTGTATATTTAGATAAATGGTAATTATTCGTGCATTGCAAACAGCAATTGTTTATTTTGAAAAAGAAAATGCACCAATACCTAGAAAAAATTAAGATTACATTTAAGACTACCCAAAGCCAAATTAAGGCAAAATTGAGCATTTTAGATCGCCCATTGACTGATGTTGTCATAAGCTTTTAACAATTTTCTTCACATCCTCGGAACAACTGGGCTAAAAGCTTAGAGTATCCTTAGATGAATTCCATTCAAGTATAGCTGTCAGAACCAGAGGGCCTACCCCTACCTCCCCATTATTTTTTGCGAAGATAGACATAATATAGGCATTGGAATTGAGGCTTACCTTTTTTTGTTGGTTTAGCCCCCTTTCAATTTACTTCCAATGCCTATGTTAAGTTTGATCAAATGAAAGGCTGTGCTCTATTTAAATGGGGAAAATGAATATAAAAAGGGTGGGTATTTTACAAATATCCCAGAATCACTGGTCAGGGAAAGAAAACAAATGAAAATTTCCTGACACTGGGAATTCAAGTTTGATTAACTTTTGGCCCCCTGTTGTAGGATGTATAGCTGTTGACATTATTATAATGAACTTTGGTCCTTATATCAAAATTGTGAAATTCGTTGAAGTAAATGATAAGGGATTTTGTAAGCAAATTCAAGGATCTCTGTGGTAGTTCTTAAAAATACACACTGTACAATGCATATCTTTTAACTTTTTGAACAAGGTAAACTATATTGAGTTATGATTTGATTACATGTATTTGTTTATAAATATTATTGCAGAAATCTCCCAGTGCTCCACCATTGAGTCTTGGCTTTTGGAAAGGAGACATAAATTTGTGATATAAAGATGGAGCCATTCCTTACAACATATTTTCTTTTGTAGCCTTAGAGTTTGCTGAGAATTTACAACAGTCTTTCAAAATCATTGTAGCTACACAGGTATAAATTTGTACAGGGCATGATTCAGTGAAAAGAAATGTTTAACCGCATTGTACAAACTATTATGAGAAATCAGTAAGGTATCCTAGGTATTTGTTTTCTATTCATCTATTTATGTTCTTTTGTCCATTTTCAGCAATACATTAAATCTGTTGGGAAAAAAGATGACAACAACCCTGATGAAATATGTTTCAAACTTCGTATTGCACATCAGGTATAAAGTGACATAAAAAATACAAATTATAAGATACAGTGAATGATTTATTTTACATAATGATTTTTAGCCTGTATTCTGCCTTTGGATGGCGGACATCAAAGTGCACAACTTGACACTGTAATCAAAATTTCATTTCATGTAGGGTATTGTACATGGCATAATATGGTTGTTCCATTAAAAAAGTAGTTTGATTATCTAAATTTTAATGGAGCACAAATAACTTATTTTGTTCATTTTTGTATGTGGAACTGAAATGTTTGAATATGTAAGGCCTGATGTTAAAAAATAATTCTTGATTTTTGTAACTTTATACTATAAAAGATAGTCTTTACTAAGACAAACTTAGTTTTGATAAAAAAAATAATTTTGTTCAATCAGGTTAAAATTTTTACATTAACAATGGTTGTATATGCACTGAATCATGAAGAGTTGTAATAAATTAATATTAGATGTCGACTCATCCTAATTTTCCAGTGCATATATTTTGTATAAGAATATTTCTGGATTTCTCTGTTAACTCTGTAAATGAGGTTTTCAATTCCTACACAGGTACTGTTACCCAATATTTAGAGTGATTCTCAACTGGCCATGTTAAATGCATGTAGTTTTTAATGGTTTGTTTATCTATGAGAACATTTTATGTCATATTATTATATTTTGTTATTTTATTTCAGATAACTGCTGATGTCATTGTTATGTGCCTGCATCCACATTTTCATGTTAATAATATAGAGTAGATTTACGGAAGTTAAATTGTTTTTATAGGCAGCTGCAGATAAGTGTTAAAATGATGGATTGTTCTTGTAGAAACGAAACTAAAAATTTTTTGTGGCCTTGAGAATTGAAAATTAGAGTGGTGTACCGTGGTATTATAGTTAAGCAAAACATATAGTGCATTATTAAGCAATAGAGTGTTTTCAAAATATGCTTTTTAAAATTTTTGTTCCAAATTATTT